CAGCTAACGAGTCCCAAACAGGACGAAACGTGCGTCCTGGATTCCACTGCTAGCCACTATCCATCTTTGCTTATAATGCCTGTAAATTAAGGCAATATCGAGGCATACGCACAGTATGCACATATGCCAATAAGAGACTGATCAATTTCAGTCCAAAAGCATCAATGGGAAGATTCAAATAAAACAATATCAAGTGAATTAATGATGATCGTTATGTCATTGTCTGTAAAATTTTTCTGATAAGTCTTCTAATTGAACGCTGGATTCTATTCCTAAGCTCTTCTATTAACGACCAGGCTAAATCTATACAACTTGAACACGAGAGAAAAGATGAGAAATATAAAAGAAACGCTTTATTCCAAGGTTCGTTTATATACAGAAAATCTAGGGTATTTATTATCATTTTAGATGGTTATAGACCTCTATAGAATTCTGAAACGCTACTAAACATAGTAGCAGTATAGGTAATCATCCAATCAGAAACTCGATGTGTGACCTTTGACTCTCTGGATATTTCTGGCAAAACTTCTATTGAATGCTGATTGGATAAGATGTTTCTCAGAATTTTCAGATCCTTTTTTTTGGTGTTTTTCGAGGAATTTCCTGGATCTCCTCAACATTTTCTCTACGTATTTCTTGAATATTTACAAGTTTATTGCATAAAAAATTTGAATTTCGTTTCAATACTGCATAATTTATGCTAAGCATTGATTACTGAAATCAAACATTTCAGTCCTGATGAGACCTCTGAGTGACACTAAAGTGACCTTGAGAGTGTCCACCTAATTACTAGTGTGGTGTGTGCTACATATGTCGACATAAGTAGTATATGACGTTAGTCAGCAACAGAATGTCTGACAGCAGAGAAGCAAGAGAATCGAACAATAAAGAATGGAAACAGAATTCAATTTGTATGAAGATTCAAGAACAATGAATTCTGAGACATTTTGAGACAATTGATGGTCATTTTGAAAATTGAGCATTTACTATATGGTTGTTAGATTTTATTAACAAGTTCTGTAATTTCCTATTCATTGCATTCGATTTTCCCCACTGGTGTACTGTTCACTACACTAGAACTAAATGAGGGTTATTAACCAGTGTGAAGGATTACAATTATGATTCATAGTTAATGGTTTAGGTTAAAAATTAGGTTTTGGGTTTTTGATCCCAAACTGACATCAGCTATAATGCCGAGACGCTGTTTAGCCAAATGGATGAGTGAATTTCGTGCCAAAATCCAAGACCTCTTATTCTAATTCTTATTTGTTTTGTCTATAAATTATATTCTCACCGTTTTCTCTCTAGTTGAGTCACGTGAAATTTATTGTGATTACGTAACGGTTATGAGGGTTTTTCCATTAGGAATACATTCTAGTCAAGTTAATCACGTATTCATGCTCTGAGTTGTGTTGAATTCCTGTAGAATAATAGACATTTAGTTATTTATTTATTTTATTTATTTTAACACATAGATATTGGTACAAGAAGGCACCAAATACATACGCGCCACACAAATCTCATTTGATATGTTTGAGGGTTGTGATACTGCCCGGGTGCCCAAACTGAAGTAGGTGGTTTTCTTAGGGGGCTACACCCGGAGCCTTCGATATGAAGGTCTGATCCACAAGGCAGTGGAGCAACGTAAGGAGATGCAGTCCCATGGTAGCCGGCGACTGATAATTGGTTCATACGCCATTTGTTCCATTAAAATCCTGGAGCCCATGTACATCATTGGTTTGAAATCATGGTTTCCCAACTCCTCTAGTTGGAACCTCCGTATCCACCAACCCGTATAAAGCACCGGGCATTCGCTTTTCGTCCACTCATTTTCGTAAACAACACCCCCGCCACGAGAAGGCAGTGAGTAGGACTTCCCTGGCAGAAGCTATGTACGTATGGTCATGTGAGAGCATTTGGAGAGGGACAGCGGACTCTCCCTACTCTCGGCCATACCAGGGTATTGGAGGGGGGGCAAACACTAAGACGGAATTTAGTGTAGATATTTGTCTCATTTGTGTAAAGATGAAGGAAACTCCGACTGTTATAACAAATTTATAGAGTGATTCCTTTTTTTCTTTTTTGTAAATTAGACTATTGCATTTTCAAGTGTACTCAGGTCACATCTCTTCATTCAACTAAACTAGTAGTAAAGGTGAAATAATTAGAGCATAATAAACGTTTAGAGATAATTCATTATTCTATAGATAAGTAATGATATGTATGAACTTCAATTTTTATGTTTGTTTATGTGGAATTTACTATTGATAATAAGTCAAGTTGTCTGTTTCCTCATTAGAATCACCTTTTCAGGGTTTGTGTTTGTATTTCAATAAGTTGGTAAAGGTTTGAAATAAGAATAATTTATATTCATTTGGTGTTGTTTACTTGTATCTTGTGTATTGTTATCGGTTTAGGACTGCAGCTGATCAGTCTGTTGTTGGTATTTTGAAGCGAATAGTACTGGGTTCGAGTCCTACGGTGAATATCAACTCTGATATACCCAGCCAACAAGTCTGAAATTGGACTAAACGCTTATCCTAGATTCCATTGCTAGTCACTATCCATCTTTGCTTAAAGAGAATGAATTACGTTCACTCTTTAATTGTTATCATAAATGTATATCATTGAAGTTCCGTAACTGGAGTAAATAGCTGTCCAGTAGTCAGTATTGTTCAGTGGTTGTCTAACTAGAAGCCTAATAATGATCAATTTTCATAGATCCATAATTTTCAATAAATTAGTGTAATCAGTATAATGATGCAGATAGGGGTTTAGTTGTCGCTCTAATGGTAACATCTCAGGTGAAAAACTGGGTGATACGACAATGACAGTCAGTCAGCCAGTCAGTAACAACGTAGGACTTCGTACGTACGTACATCAGTTCGAGTTGCCACATCACATTAGCACAGAGATGCAGTGGTCGATTCAAATCCCGTAGTGGTAGAGGTAATAAGAGTATAAGCAGTAATCAGGAAAATTAGTGTTTGGAGATGTTATTTAAAGAGTATAATCCTGCGAAATAAATTTGGGAAGAGAAAAAAAGAGACAAGGAGGAATAAGCAGATCAAAATTTGGGAGAACACAAAGAGTGGATGCACCTGCGCCATTGCAAACGATTTTGAGCCATGTCATTCAGGGTCTCTTACCATCGGTTTCTATCATCTCGTGTTCCACAACCAGGTAGTCTACACCTACCAACATGACTCAGTCCACTTGTCAGTGACTTCATGGACTTGTGCCATGTTTTGGTCTGGCCAAACCTAGTATTCTTCCAACCTACTCCTATACCACTGAACATCGCACGTCGAGGCAGTCCGTCGTTGGGCATACGTAACACATGTCTCAGCCATATCAACTTATGAAACTATGGACTGAACTGGTGGTCTGTGGTTTACCTTCCTTCTATTGACAGATATAAGTGGTATGTAACACCAATCGAAAGTTGAATGAATGTCAGTAGAAGATTAAGAAGATTCTATCAAAAAGAACAGAAAGGGAAGCAGAGAGAAATTATAATAACAGTAGAATTGTATAAGTCCTGATGAATGTAAAGGACAATTGAAAGAATAAATGCAAATAATGTATTTAATGTAGGGTTTTCATATTTTATGAAAGTGTTTTGAGTCTTCTTATCTGAGTGTTCGTTTACTACAGGACAGCTAAGTCTCATTGATTGTATGAATATCTTATAAACGTAATTATTTAATTTGATATGAAACATGTCAGCGACTTCAGTAGTATGTAATAAACGTATACGTGTATTATGCAACCAACTGGATGATGATTTATGATAAATTGTTCAAAAATCTTGATTTCATTCAGCTTGATTAAGGTATTGTGATAGTATTGAGAGATCCGATTTTAATCAAAAAATTGTTTTGTTCTAATATAAGACTCATTAATAAGTTGAGCATTAGCTAATCTTCTTAAGGCTAAAATTAATCTTCTATAATCAAATGCTTAGCGAACTAACGACATAATCATGGAATGTCACCATGTGTTCACTGGTGACTGATTACTGGAGGTATTTGCAAGAGTTCTAATAAGAAGCGGTAACCAGAGGAAGATAGTTACTCAATATAGCAAGTTAACTGAAGGTAAGAATATAAACTATTGTACACCTATTTATTGGTCAAAAGGTTAAGCACTCTCAACAAGACGTGGAAATACTGAATTCGTTCTCCGGTGAGGTTATGGCAGATCACTTATAAACAGTCCCATAATTTGACGATATAGGTGTTCAATGCTTTATGTTTTTTACACTCTCATTTTGAACTTTAGTTAGAAATTAAATTTAAGTAAACAGACTATTTTATTCGTTCTCAATAGCAGAACTATTGAAGTATATTGATTGTATTGCTGAAAGGACAGAAAACATTTCTATCCAATCCTTCTTATGTTTAGTCTCTGATGACAAACTTCTTTGATATTAGGTAAATATCTTCATATATACTTAAACAAATCGATTCTCTCAGTTCATTTGGAAACTAGTCAATAAATATTGCTTATTTAGTAGTTGAATTCATGAGTTGATTCAAGGTAGACCATTATTGAAGACCTGGAAGCACTGGACGTCCGTTTCGTCTTAAAATAGTACTCCTCAACAGTACACAGCCACAATCCCACACGTGGGATTACTCGAACCCAGGGCCTTTGATCTTACGCGCGAATGCTTAACATCGTAGACCACTGAGCCGGTATTTAAGGGTGTTCATATCTAACTTCAGTCGATACATTTTCTTGTGATACCGTTCATTCAATATCTGAGGTAGATATCTGTCTCTACTTGACATGAATTGGACTCGATTGATCAAGGCTTTTCATTAGAACTTCAGGAAATTCATCTTGAAGCTAGTTACTAGTGAGCACATAGGGATTGAAACGATTTATGAACGATCTAGAAGGTATTATTACATCGTAATAAAGAACAAACTGGTTAAAGGTTTTATTGAATTAATTGTACAGTATTTTGTTGTTTTTGTTTTGGTATATTTTAGTTATATCGTTTCTATAAATATTGGATGATAAAATATGCCTTCACCTACAACACAATCAGGTAAGTCTTACTTACTTGTTGGATAGTAACAGATCGACGTGTTATATATTTATGCAGTTTGATATATATGTATTATAGACAACTTCATATGTAGCATACATGTTTATCAGTTTTCATTACCATATTAGATATCAATAGAGTGATAATGAACGAAAGTTAGATGACTCGAAGTAATCATAGTATCAAATGTAACGAATGACCACTAAAATGGGAAACAATACATTGAATACACCTTATGTACATCTTCCTTAAATTATCACTTACAAACCCTACAATTCTTTCATTACTGTTGCTTTTTCGAATACCTTCGTTTTTTTCCTTCTCTTCTCTTCATTCTCTTCTACTAACAGTAAGAATCGTATTTCTTCAGGTATACTACTTATATATATATTCGTATATGTAGCACAAACACAACTATTTATTCAAGTAAACGCTTCTGCATTACAATCAGACTACACTTCACGACTAATGTATAGCAGACCTTACATATATCATCAGTGTTATTCATCCAATAGTTACTGACTTCACGAAATACTGCAATGTAAGTGATGGTTGAGCATACTTTCCAACCACTTCATTAAACGAATATCCACTACATCAACTGACTGAAATTGATGTGATATATGTATACATATGGCTTAAGGCAGTCGTTCAAAAGTTTCTTGCTAATTAATATACTGTACCATGATGTATCAACAATTTTATAGTAAACGAATTCTATCTTCACACAACAGAAATAAAATGGTTACAGTCAGTATAAGTGACACATTGCTATTCAAATTACAATCATTTAATCCTAAAATAAATATCTTTCTTTAAAATGAATAGTAGATATTCAAATATCTTTGAATTGTGATTATGTTATATTTAGTCGTCGTTGATTGCTGTGCCGGAAAAAAAAACGCTGATCACTTATACTCGGAACGAGGGACCTCTGCAATTCCCACGATGAGAAAGTAAGAACACAAAGACTGGTATAAGTGAAGATTTATTAGCCCCAAACACTATGGAGACGACGAATCAAATATAGTCTAAAATACACTCATTTATATATTGATTGTACACCCATTTTGATTAATAATTAGGATTAAATCACATACTCAGTTACAACAAATCACTTACTGAGCATAGTTCATGTCAACTGAATACAAGAATATCGTATATTATACAGAAGAAAATATCATACTGAGAAAACAAATCAAATACTACACTGAATGATCCTCATGTTGAATCAAAACGGATGTTGAACGTTGAATAAAACTCATAATTCAATCGAAAATTGACTTTCCCTTCCATCACATCAGATTATTGTAGACCGAATGTCCTGGGTTCGAGTCCTACATGTAGGATTGTAGATGAGTTCTATTCACGAGTTCCATACTAGGACGAAACGACCATTGAGCACTTCTAGGTTTTCAATCGTAGTCTAACATTGATCGCTTCATCATATCAATCTATATATTTACTAATCATAAAAGTATTTTAGAGTCAGCTTCTTTCAGAATTAATACATTTTACTAACTATATAAGAAACTGATCATTTATTCTTTTAAAAAACAATCTTTCTTTTATACAATAAACAAAACAAATCATAAAGTCAATGTCGATAATGGTTCGAAATGTGATGATGTCTTGAATAATGGCAATGATATTGAATTCTTGAAAAAACATTTACCACATGTGGATATCGAAACTGGTTTAAAACATCGCAGTGAGTAATTACTACTACTATTACTAATACTACTACTATTACTACTACTACTACTACTACTACTACTACTACTACTACTACTACTACTACTGCTACAACTACCAATACTACTGCTACTACTACTACTACTACCACTACTACTACTACTACTACTACTACTACTACTACCACTACTACTACTACTACTACCAATACTACTAGTAAACTACTAATATTAAGAAATAATGCTTATGAATCCTATTTTGTCCTCAATCTGCGTGTATGCATGCATTCGTATGTAAATTATTGCATGTAGATGTATATATTGATTATGTAATAATGCATACGCTTTTCCTCTGAATTTGATTCATTATAATTCTAGATCGATAGACAAAAAATGTGATTTATTTTCCCTTAAATTATTGACTAATTGAATTCGATAATCAATAAATTAGACAATTAATTAATTTGTATTATATATTGATTTTAATAATTGATTGGGTACTAAATAATGATCAATGATATGTTTGTTTAGGTTTTGTTTTAAGTGTTAATCGGATCTTATTGATTAAATTTAAATATAATTTTATTGGTTGAGATCATGAGTCAAATGAAGCTAGACTATCATGGAAAATGTGGAACCACTGGACGGCCATTTCGTCTTATTGTGGAACTCCTCAGCAGTGCGCATTCACGATCCTGCCTAGCGAGATTTAAACCCAGGACCTATCATTCTCGCACGCGAATGCTTAACCTCTAGACGACTGAGCCTGTATTCAATGGTGTTAATGTCTAACTTCAAGCAATCCACAAAATTGCGCTACCATTCACCATTGTCTTCCGTGAGTTACTACCTCACAACAGACGTGGTTGAACTCCACTGATCACTGCTTCCCACCAGAACTTCAGGATATACCTCTTGGTGGTCTAGCTGCAATTGACTCATGATGTCAACCATTAAAATTACTATAATATCCACAATCCCCTTCTAATAACAAATTTAAATGTGACCACATAATCCGATATTCCGTGGTCAGTGATAGTCAGCAGGGAATTTGGAACTTATTATTTGACATTCGTCAGCAAGGTGTACTTTTAATCTTGAGGAATTGGTTTTCCTTGGTTGTACAGCTTGCTGAAGAATTTCAAATAGCATCAAACTTAGGTTCAGAGTTTCATCTTTAATGATACGAGCATACTAACTTATAGTGAGTTTGTTTAGGTAATCACTGAAATCTAGGAACCTGTAAACAGTGTAGAACTTTTCAACAATGTTCATTCTTGATGGATACAGTGAGATCTTAACTATTACACAAATGAACTGGAATAACACGATTCACATTTCTTATTTTAGTCAATTCATGATAATAACTGAGTTTCATTCATTAACTTTTATCGTATTTTTCTGAATTTCGATATGAGCTGAGCTCCACTAGTCATGACTTCTACTTAAACTCTAGATCCATTCTGAAAGGAAAATTACTTATAATCCAAACATGAGTAAATATTCACAATTGATTGATCACTGGGTGGTGATCTGTGTCATGTGTGTCAAGTCCTTCTTAGTGCAGGTTGAATCCTATCGACCAATTTACAATGTGACCACTAGTCTAGGTGACTCGACATTGCGTGCACTATGATGAAATAAGATGGTAGATGATAGATAGCTCAGTGGTAACGTCTCTAACTTTCAAGCTGGGTGACATGGGATTGAATCCGTCAGAGAGCATCAGTTTCCTCAAGAATAATACAGGTACGCCTTGCTGACGAGTACCAAGTAGCACAAAAACCTGAGTCCAGGGTTTCCTATTGACTACTTCCAACCACCATCTTGAATAAATATTAGACATCAAATATGATAGTGACTAAAAATAGAGGAATATGATAAACTGGATCTCAAATCATTGAACTAAAACTAATTTGTTCATTATAAAATCGAAGTCTTAAGTAACTGATAAATTAACCTTGATCAATTCATTTATCATTTAAAAAGAAAGATTTTAATAGTTCATTCTGTCAAATTGTTTTATATACAGATCTTATTTGACTGATGATCATGATGATCATGATTATGATCATTACCATCTATTTAACTTACCCCCTTCCTCCCCTTTTGACAATATTTAACCCATAGAAACTAATGTATTTCAAATACAAAGCAATCAAACTGTTTGTAAAGAAGTGATTTATCTTTTTTTGATTTAACTGTGACCTCTTCATTAATACTTCTGTTTTATGACCGAATTTATGTAGTTTACGTGAGGTTGATTAAAGGAAAAGAAAAAGGTGTTCTATTTAAAATTAAAGATGAAGTTTCAATGTTCATATTTTATGTGCAAACTTTGTTTTATTCAAGATCTTAAATTATTAATGAAGTGTAAGTTATTTTGTATAAACCCCTAAATGTCCTGGTACAGAAGAGATTTGGGAAAGTTAGCTTTCTCCCTCCAAATGCTCTCACATGGCCACGCGTATACAACCACCACCAGGGAAGTCTTACTCACTGTCTTCTCTCTATGGGGGTGTTGTTTACAAAGTTGAGAGGACGAAAAGCGAATGTCTGGAGCTTTAACCGGGTTGACGGATATTGAGGATCCACCTATAGGGGTTGGAAAACTTCGATTCTGAAGCAATGGTACACATGGGCTCCAGGATCCTAAGGAAACAAATGGCGTATAAACCAATCGTTGGTCACCGGCTAGCATCAGGCTGAATCTTTCGACGTTGCTCCACCGCCTTGTGGATCAGATCTTTAGGTTGAAGGCTACGAGTATGGTTCCCTAAGAGAACCGCCTATTTCTGTCTGAGCACCCGAGCGATATTCTAGCCCTCAGACAAATAAAATGAAATTCGTGTGGCGCATATGTATGTGGTGCCTCTTTCTACCAATATTTATGTTTTCAAATAAATAAATAAGCCCTAAACATTCTGGTATTGATTCCTAAACGAATTATAATAGCACATTATAGAGTTTTATGATGAGATTAAACAGCTCTTCAATACTCTATGGCTTCTTAATTGTTTTCTAATCAGATTCATTCAATGTCTGATGTTTGAAGGTAGGCTGCAGGAAGTCCTGAATTTTTATGGTAGCTGGCCTTCGTCAGTATAACGTATGCGATTAGGAGTCATTTAAGCAAGTCATCACATTGCAACTTGATAGATAGAATGCAAAACATTACTAAAAGACTATATGAACGTCACATTGGTCATTAGTCAGTGATAAATCAATTGTTAACGTTTCATCTATACACGAGGCCAATCGAGACTAGAGAATTTCAGCGATAATGTCTCAGATTATGAAGCTGGGTGATTAAGGTTCAGATCCCATGACAAGATTCTTTGAAGTATTGATATATAAGTTACAGAGCCTAATCGCCTGTTTACATTTAACCACCTAGTTCTGGTGTGCTCTAATATATCCTAGTATTATTCTCTGGAGAATTTCATATTGAAATAAAGCATTTTTGATGGAGTTTTGTTCCCTGAGCTGGATGGTTTGGTCGTGGAGCCTTCATCGTCATTCTGAACGATATCATCAGCACTACCTGAAGTTTGTTAGCTCAGAGAATAAAAACTCCAACAAAATCATTCACGTAAGGTCCAAATTTTCACCATCATCACAAAGCATCCCTATATAAATGGTAGACAGGATATATACATGATTAATTGTGTCAATTATTAATGTATTGTCCATAAATATTCTTTACTAATGGGGTGTTAGCGTGAATGATCCAAAAAAACACAACAACTAACTCAGTAACAAAATTTGTGAAAATTTTTTTATCAGTTAACATGTTAATTATAGAAATTAGTTTACTAAGGGAAATGAACTTTCTGCCTGTTTTACTTGATCTCTAATCATGTATAACTATGGTTAAATGACCTGAATGAAATAACACTTAGTTGTATATGTATATAGTGATAAGAATGGGTATGAATTTATGCAAGACTAAATTTGCCGGTTTGACATAAATATTCTAAATGAATTACTTCCTTATTTACTTACCTACGCCTGTTATCCCCTATCGAGGAACATAGGCCACCCATCAATATTCACCATTCAACTCTGTTGTCGACGATTCCTTCCAGGTCTTTCCAGTTGCTATTCAACCTTTCAATGTCTGCTTCCAGTTCCCGATGTAGTGTGTTATTTGGTATTCCTTTTTTCCGTTTTCCTTCAGGATTCCAAGCTAAAGCTTGTTTCGTGATGCAGTTTGATGCTTTCTGCAACGTATGTCCTAATCACATCTATTGTCTTATCCTAACTACCTTCTCAGTAGGAAACTGGTTTTTTCTTCACTATAGTAGGTTGTTGGTGATGTTTTCTGGCCAACGGACATTGAGTATCTTGTGTAGACAATTGTTTTTTTGGTGATGATTGTAGTAGTTCTCCACGTTTCAGTTCCGTACAGTAGGACTGTTTCACATAATTTAGAGATCTTGAAACTGAATTTCAACTCTGTTATAATATTCATTTAGAGTAAATGTTTACGGTTCTTTTCAAACTTTTAATGTGATAGCATAATGAACGGACACTTAGATAGGGACGATCAGTTTATTATTAAATACAAAATTACAGAATATCTTTATATTCTATATGATTCTTCCAATTCACAACTTCTTTGTATTTCTTTTTCTGTTTTCTTTGAATCGATCTTCTTAGTCTTCTACTGCCAGGCATTCCACTTCTGATTGGTGTTACCTGCTATACACCACGTATATACTTAGACTTATTCACATAAATTTAATTCAAGTTTTCTTTTTGGAACTACCTTACTTACCAGCAAATCATGCTTCTGTTCATTCATTTAAATTATATACTGTCGTGTTGAGTCACTTGGACTGGGACAACTAATTATACTTCAATACAGAATTCCTGTGTTCGTTCATACATTGTTAAAAACCATACATCCAGTACTTCATTTGTAAATCCTTCATCAATTGTCTCGATCTTCATCATCCTTTCATTACTATTATAATTACCCTCTGTTCCTATTCTTTTCAATTCGAACTTTTCAATCTTCTGCTGTCAAACGTTTCACTTTTGACTGATGCTATATACTACTTATGTCTATCAACATAAGTACTTCCTTACTTCGCCTGTTACTCCCAATGGAGTATAGGCTACCGATCAGCATTCTCCAACCGACTCTGTTCTGGATCTTCCTTTCTAGTTCTTTCCAACTGTTGTTCATTCTTTATATGTCTGTCTCTATATCTCGGAGTAATGTGTCAACATAAGTAGTATACACCTAAAATTACAAATTCATTAATAGAATTTGGATCATCATTGAGAATTAGACAATCAATAATCAGTCAATATAAATCTAAATACCAGTTTTCCCTTATAGCCTTTGATTTCCCATAAAGGGTAGGATGTGAAAAATCGATTGGACTGTAATTTATAAAAGTATATTTTGACATTTTATACTTGATTATAATCGATCAATAATCAGTATCGATTTATCCAAGACTGGTATTACTTTTTTAAAGAAAAAAAAAACACTCGAGGAGGAATATTATCGATTGAGGAAGTTAATTATCGATTTTTTCTTCTGTCTATTTTATTTTATTTATTTATTTAAACACATAAATATTGGTACAAGGAGGTACGAAATAGATATGCACTATATAAATCATTCAATTTATGTGAGGGTTGGGATACTACCCGTGCACCCAAACTGAAGCACGTGGTTTTCTTAGGAATACACTCCACGAGCATATGACTTCAAGGTTTAATCCACAAGTCAATCAGACAAAATCAGGAGATACACTCCCATGATAGTTGGTCAACGAGAATAGGTTCTTACACCATTTGTTCTCTCTGGATCCTGGAGATCATGTGCACCATTGGTTTGCAATCAGATTTCCCTAACTTCCCTAAGTGGTCCTCCATATCCACCAACCCAATTGAAGCTCTAATTACTCACTTTTCATACTCTCAATCCAGTAAACAACACTCTCAACACGGGAATGCAGTGAGTAGCATTTCCCTAGTAGTGGCTGTATACGCGTGGCCATGTGAGAGCATTTCCAAAGAGAGAGAGAGCGGACTCTCCTCATTCTCAACTGCATCAAGACATTTGAAGGTGAAATGTGGCAACTGACCATTGCAGTGTGGAAGTGCTGGGTTGACTGAAAATTTCTCCTGTCATTAGGAGACTTAATATTTTGTGACGCATCTCAGATTGAAGTGAAAATCACTTCGAATGCAGACACACTCCGTTGATGAGTTCTAAATAGGATGAAAAGTGCGTAGTGGATTCCACTGCTAGCCATTATCCATCTCTCCTTATGATTCTTGTGATATTTATTCAGTATATCACCGGTTTAGTTTTAAATTGATAGTAATGTTTATGTAATATTTATTCAATATTATAACCGTCTGTATTGATTTAGTGTGACATTTACTCGGTATAATATATGGTTGTACACATTCAGTGTAAAATCCATTTATTTTCTTAATAATTGAAATATGTATCATGTTTTCTGACTAACCATTCATTCTTAGTAAAATTTGTACAGTAATGGGTGTACTTGGTTCATACTTTGTTGCCGTGCTTTTGCATGGTGAATAAAATTTACATTTGACAAAAGTTTTTGTCTTCTTTCTTGGGTTGTACAATCTCATTTTCTCCCTGTTTAAGTTCAATTTTCAGCTCTATAAATAACCTTAGTAATGATCCGTTTTTGCATTGATTATTTGAATCTTCTCATTGATATGTAGGACTTCGATTGATCAGTTTCCTATTGACATATATTCACGCTGTTCGGATTACTTTGATATTGCCTTAAGTCACCAGTGTTTTAAGTAGAGATGATGGTAGATAGCAGTAGAATACAGTTTGACGCGCGTCTCGTCCTATTTCGGGACTCGTTAGCTAGATGTACCTGAATCTCAGAGTTGATGTTCACCATAGGACTCAAATCCAGTATCGTTTGCTACAAATGGCATCATATTTTCCATTCAAGCACACACGCCAGTGGCTATCTAGACTCAGCAGCTAAGTGGAAAACGCGATGGTGTTTAAAGCGAACGAAACCGAATTCGAGTCTCGAAGTGAACATCCACTCTGGGATGCAGGTACATCCAGCTGACGTATCCAGAATAGGAAAAGACGTGCTTTCTGGATTCCACTGCTAGTCACCAACCATCTCTAGTAATTATCAGTTGAGTGGAAAACCTGGAAGCACTGGATGGTCGTTTCTTCCTATGAATATGCTCTCTAGTGACTGGTTTCAAGAGGTATTTCCTGGCGTTCTAGTGAGAAGCAGTGACCAGTGGAGTCCAACCTGGTCAGCTGTGAGATAGTAACTCATTGAAGACAATGATGGATGTATCGCTCAATATCACCGATTAGTTGAAGTTAAACATTGACACCATTGGATACCGGCTACGTGGTCTAGTGTCTAAGCGTTCGTTTACGAGACCGGTAAGTCCTTTGTTCGAGTGATCCCACGTATGGAATCGTGGATGCTCACTGTTGACGAGTTTCAAAATAGAAAGAAATGGCAGTCTCGTGATACCAGGTTTTTCTATGGTAGTCTAACTTCAATTGTGTCATGATCTCAACTAATGAAATTACTATAATATCCACAAAATCCTTTTCTGATATTATTTTCATTTGTTCCATAACAAATACTGATCAACTGTTAATTAGAAATGATTTTTGCTTTGCATGTATTAAATTTTCAATATATTTCAGTATGCTTTTGTTGTATCCCTTGTATACTGTTCATTGTTATGATTTTTAGTTTCAGATCATTAATTTTAAGATTATTGCATTTGAATCACAACCTTTTCTCGCAGTGTACAGTTCATTGTATTGATAAACATTGATTGGTTTGAAAGGTTTCAAAACAGTTAACAATATCTTACTCATTTATACTATGTACATTGTTATTTTCAATTAGTCAGTAGTTAATTATTAATCTGTTATGTGGTTGGGTTGAAAATTGAGGACTATTCGACTGTTAGTTGTTTTTAAGTATGATAGGAATCCTCAGTGGTTTATAAGTGCAATCTCGAAAGTGAACAATGAGGTGCTTGTGGTTAACGTTTTACTTTTAGGTAGTTCCAAAGTATTTATCATAAATGTTTGTAGGGATACAGAAAATGCTTGGAAACACCTTATCCAATGAAAGTTGAATGGATGCCTCCCAGAAGCATCTAAAAATTAAGGTCACGTATGATGTTTCTGATTGGTTATTAATGTATATAGCCACTTTGTTTAGTATGGTTTTTTGAACGTTTAGAAGCTCAGAGTCGTGTGTAACTATGAATATACTAACTTTGGAGTGAAGTGCTCATTTTTTATTTTGAGCCAATTCTTTTGTGTTCAGTTCACCGTTTAGATTTAGCCGGGAGTTATTAGAAGCGCCTCAGAAATCAGATCGAACATTCATTTAACAGACTCGTCGCATACCATGAACGCTATCGGGTAAACATCTAATAGTATGAGTCCATAACTTTAAAAGATTCACGGTATTCATTCAATATCATTAGTAACAACTATTTCCTTCCCAACATGTCTGAACTACGCCAGTCATGACTTTTCAGTAGAACTCAAAAAACATTTTGAAGTTAATGAGTCATATACTAAGATAAAGTAGTTGTCCAACACTACGGTTTCAATGAGCCTCAACTACGATCAATCAGTAGCGAATAAAAATTCGCGAATCTGTGTAAAAGTCCTTCATCTTAATTGATTGTGCAGTTGAAATACATAATCATACAAATTATTTCAACCAATGCTGATTAGCTCCATAATGGATTTTACAAAGTTAATCTAAGAAGGTGTAGTCTGTAGAGAGATATCAGTCAATATGGGTATATACTACAACCCTTAATGTTGATTTGGTCATTCTGGAGCCTATACACGGAGTAAATTGCTCAGATGTCTGAAAGTACAAGGAAATATCTATCTAGTGATCTTTGATCCGAAAGTTCTTGAACTATGGCTAACAGTGGGATCCAGCATATGTACTCAGTTCTCTTAAAAAACCGTCAGTAGAATACATTCACAGTAAAGTGTTTATATTCACAATAAGACTCAAATTTAGTAGTTATTATTTTAAACAAAAATTTATCATCCAGTAGGTGGCAATTTGTTTATTCTGGTTAGCGTTTTTTGGCAAGGTTTTTTTCTATTAGATTGAGTTGCCGATCTCACGCAAAACCCTCCTCCTTTACCTGGGTTTGGGATCAGCAATAACCCTAGAAGAGCTGAAGGCAGAGAATGCTGGTGAGTGGCGGATGTTCCACCACGACGAGTAACAAGCGTAGATAGAGCTAGAAATTTGATAGAAGCCTCATAATTACTTTTCTAATACAAATGTGTGAATACATTCCCATGTATATTCAATACAAGTAGATTCCTTAATATATATTCACCATGAGAACTATGCATCAGTAAATCAAGATATAAATTAATTTTATTACAGCAGTTCAAAGAGATCCAATCACCGGTCTTGGAGCATTACCAAAAGAACATGTTGAACTTGGACGTACAAGAAATGCTTCAACTGGTAGACCGGGTAAGTAACATATAATAACTGTTTTCTTTAATATAAAATAACTCTTCTAAATACCATTTCCATTGTTTTGTGAAGGATCATAAAGTAGCTAATGAAGGTCGCTATCATTTGTTTTTATATTGTTGAATTGAATATAGACCAAAGTACATGTAGAATACTTGATAAAACATAAGAACGTATAGGTGTATGTGTAAGATAATGCTTTAGATCAAAGAAATTCCCCTTCGTCTATTATACAACAGAATATGTACTATCGAAAATCTACACTATCTAATTTATCCAAATTCCGGTTATCTTTTTATGTCAACTTTAATCTAGATGTTAGGAATCGAGGAATTGACATCTGAATAATCTTCATTCTTTTCATTGAATAATGCCTACTAATAACCACAATGTCTCTGACGTTATACAGCGAAAGGTCGTAAGCACTTCATAACTTGTTGAAATATCTAGATGGTAAGGACATTTAGTCCAGATATTCAAGCAGGCTGACAATTATCAATTCATTTCATAGAGTTTATCCACTTAATATTCTTCTTTAGAATTGTTCATTTCTAAATTAGTGATTAATCCTTATATAAATCATTTACATTGAAATTATGATGGATCGATGTTATAGCATCAAAGATATATAAATCTCAATGGTTAAGATCATGAGTCAGTTGAAGCTAGACCACCATGGAAAACCTGGAAGCGCTGGACGGCCGTTTCGTCCTATTGTGGGACTCCTCAGCAGTGCGCATCCACGACCTCGCCCCCTGCGAGATTCGAACCCAGGACCTACTGGTTTCGTGCCCGAGCACTTAACCACTAGACCCAATAGGACGAAACGGCCGTCCACTGCTTCCAGGTTTTCCATGGTGGTCTAGCTTCAACTGACTCATGATCTTAAACATTGAAATTACTACAATCTCCACAAAAACCCATCTGATATATAAATTGTTCAAGATCTTTATTTTAATAGTTGAATTCATTAGTCGATTGAAGTTAGACCACCGTGGACAACTTGGAAACACTGGACAGCCGTTTCGTCCTAGTATGAGTCTTCTCAGCAGTGTGTGTACACGATCCCACCCCGCGTGATTCGAACCCAGGACCTGTCAGTCTTGCGTGCGAATACTTAACCACTAGACCACTGAGCCGGTATCCAACTATGCTAATATTTAACTTCAATTAATCCATGAAATTGAACGACACATCTATCATTGTCTTCAATGAGTTACTATCTCACAATAGACCCAGTTGAACTTCACTGATCACTGCTTCTCACTAGAACTCGAGGAAATATCTCTTAGAGACTGTCACTAGTGAGCATATGATAATTATAATCAGTTAGAGGTTTTGTGGATATTATAGTAAATTGATAGTTGAGATCACCAGTCATTTGATGCTAGATATTAGATATTTATTCTTAAATGACTAATCTATTATGTAATATTCTAGTTTATTTTGAAAGGTTACTGTTGGTTAATAACTTATCAATCTTTCTTTTTTGTTCTTCACCGTTCTCATATTCACAACTCTATCAGTTTCTTACACTAAACATATCCCTTGGATACAACAAAGAATTTTCAAGAAATAACATTCAATATACGTTTTATAACTTCCAATTATTTAAACAAATTTACAAACAAAAAAATGTTTCTTCAATAGTTATTGGTGATCATTCATTTTCAGTAACATAAGTCTAAGACACCGGTAAAATGTTAAACTGGCTTTAAGAGTATCCGCCTAGTTACTATGATTAAATAAGGGTTATATATTAGTGTGAGGAATTCGAATTATGATTTACGTTTGCTAGTTAGGTTTATAAATTAGATTTAATGTCAATAGTTAAGATCATGAGTCAATTGAAGTTAGATCATTATGGAAAACCTGATAGAAATGGATGGCCATTTCATCCTATTGTAGAACTTCTCAACAATGTGCATCCACAACCCCGCCTCGTGGGATCACGAAATGATATCATCTAAAAATGTTAAAACTCTATTTAAATAGATGAGTAAATGAATTTCGCGCCAAAAACCAAGATCTACTATCTTAAAATGTGATGGATCAATTGAAGTTAGACCACCATAAAAACTTAGAAGCACTGAACTGCCGTTTTGTCCTAGTATAAGACACTTCAGCAGTGTTCATTCGCAACCGCGCTCTCGGGAGTTCAACCAGACCTGTTGTGAGATAATAACTCATTGAAGACAATAATGGACGGTGGCGCAATTTTGTAGATTGGTTGAAGTTAGACATTGACACTGTCGGATACCGGCTCAGTGGTCTAGAGATTAAGCGTTCGTTCATGAGTCCAAAGGTCCTAGGTTTGGATGGTCCTACGTGCGGGATCGTGGATGTACATTGCTGAGGAGTCCCACACTAGAACGAAACGATTATCCAGTGCTTCTTCCAGGGTTTTCATGATGGTCTAGCTCTAATTAACTTATGAATTCCACTACTGAAGGCTATTGAAATAACCCTTTCTAATAATATTACAATATTAATTTTTTTAATTGTTAATACAAGTACTACTGAATAGGTCATTAGATTGTTTAGTGATTACTATATCATATCAATTATTACATGAATTAATATAGGTCTATATATATATATTGCTAAGTTAACTTCAATTTGATTGACATTAGACATTAGTTACTATACTGAATATAGAATGTCAATACCAAAAATAAAGAAAAACAAACAAACAACAACAAAAAATACACAAATAAAATAAACAACTTTTTGGCGGGAAAAGTGAAATGTTTGTTTTTCTATTTACAATTTAAAGTAGTTTCAGCTGTATTGAATAAAGAAAACAATAATAATAATAATAATAACACAACTGTTTATTGTTTATTATCAGAAGGGGTTTTTGTGGAGATTATAGTAATAGTAATAGTTGAATTCATGAGTCAATTGAAGTTAAACCGCCATGGAAAACATGGAAGCACTGGACGACTTCGAATCTCGTGAACCGAGATTGTGGATGCACACTGCTGAGGAGTCCCACAGTAGGATGAAACGGCTGTCCAGTGCTTTCAGGTTTTTCATGGTTGTCTAACTTCAATTGACTCTATGAGTCAACTATTAAAACTGTTTATTATTTATTCCCTAAACATGGAATAATATCAAAAGCTATTAGGTTTACCTCCTTTGAAATTGTTGTAAACTGTCCAGTTTTTTCTAATCAATCTAACGGATTGTAGTTGAACAAGAACATAAGTGGGTAAATCCGAATGTATTTGAATATAAAATTACAGAATATCTTGGTAAAATCTGAGATCCATACAGCAAGTACTTCATTTACAGTAGGTCAATCAATTGTCTTAGACTTCACTGTCCCTTCATTTCCACAGAAATCATTTTCTGTTCTGGTTCACTTTTCTTCTATCTTTTTAACCTTCTGCTGCCGACGAGCATTTCACTTTCGATTTGTGTTACATATACTACTTATATCTATCGACATCAGTAGCACACAGCATAGAATAATCGATAAATTCAAAAGAAAATTGTTTTTTAAAACAAACAATCTATATACATTTGATGAAGATAAACAATTATGTTTGTCTAGGAGTTAAATAAGTATAGATTCATAAATAATGGTATATTGATATAAATGTCAATGGGAAAATGTCCTCTTTTCTTCTGTCAGTTAAAATAAGGTGAATCATTAAATTCTAAGTTTTAAAGTAGATAGAATTATAGTTGTTGATCTAAGTTAGACTACTTTTAAAAATCTAGAATCACTGGGCAGGTTTTTTTTACCTTAGTATGAGGTTCGTCAACAAAGTGCATTGACGATCTCATATGAAGGATTCAAACCCAATCTCCACAAATCTTTATATCGATAAATTCTGATACTAATCAACATATGCTCCCTAGTGACTGGCTTCAAGAGATATTTCCTCGAGTTCTAGTGAGAAGCAGTGACCAGTGGAGTTCAACTGGGTCTGTTGTGACGTTGTAACTCACTGATGGCAATGGTAGATGTGTCGCTCAATTTCGTGGATTAGTTGAAGTTAGAAATTAACACCATTGGATGCAGGTTTAGTGGTCTAGTGGTTAAGTATTCGCGCGCAAGACTGATAGGTCCTGGGTTCGAAGCCCGCGAGGCGGGACCGTGGATGCGCACCACCGAGAAGTCTCGCAATAGGACGAAACGGCTGTCCAGTGCTTCCAGGTTTTCCATGGTTGTCTAGCTTCAATTGTCTTATGATCTTAACTGTTGAAATTATTTATATTTCATGGATGGCTAAAGTTGGTGACATTCAACTAAAAATTCACATTTACAAAGTGTTTGTCTACAGAGTCGAGATCGGTGAAACAATGATTCAGTTATATCATAAGTTTCTCTCATATACTTACAAAACTTGCTAATTAGATAACTTGGAATATAACATGGCGTTTAATAGTGATTGAAATTCATAGGTGATTATTAATTATTCAAAGATGTTTCTTTAAAACATTGCTCTCATCTATTACAAACTGAGATTTATTTAAGTAAATTGATTAGGAAGAGTGTGACATGAGTCCAATTACTGTGTAGTTTGATACACATTGTTAACTGATGTAAGATTACTGCGTTCAAGTCCTGAAGTGAACATCATCTCTATGATACAGGTAAATCGAGCTGATGAGTTCAAAATAGGACAAAATGCGCGTCAAACTGAATTCCACTGCTATTCATTATTCATCTTTGCTTAAAAAGCTTGCGACTTATGGTTATATTAAGGCAGTCCGTACAGGATACACGTATGTCAGTTAGAGACTGATCAATTGCAGTCCCAAATAACAATGGGAAGATACAAGTAAAACAACAGCAAGTGAATAATGTAAGATGAGGTTAGAAGAATAAGATGTACTGAACGAGAAAATCAGTGGGGACAACGGAATGCGTCTGAATACAAAATTAAAAAATATCTTAGTAAAATCTGAGAATGATACAGTAAATACTTCATTTGCAATATGTCAATCAAGTGTCACAAACTTGACTGTTCGTTTTACAAATATCAGTCAATCGTCTCAAACTTCAATGTCCTTGCATTTTTATACCAACTGATTTCAGTTCCGTTCTTTCCTCCTCAATCTTCTTGACCTCCTACTGCCAGACATTATGTCCCTGACTATCGTTATATACTACTTATGTCGATATAAGTAGCTCATACCACAATAAGTCATCATGAACTTACTGATTATCAGGACATATATTAACAACCTAATTGGAGTAATTTTCATAATCGATTACTGAAAGTTCAATGTGACAAAGATCAATATCATATGCATTAGAAAAGATCAACTCATTGTTTGTGTTTATACTGAACTCTGAATTTCTAAATTGTTCTATACTTTCATCTAGTTATTTCGTTTCATCCTTTTTAACCAGATGTTCTATCAGCATAAGGGTTGTGGAGATTACTAACTTATTGATTAAGATCATGAACCAATTGATGTTAGACCACCATTGAAAACCTGGAAGTACTGGATGTCCATTTCGTCCTATTGTGGGACTCCTCAGCAGTGATCTCAACCAAAAACTTAATGATCTCCACAACCCCTGTACTGGTATTTAACATGTGCTCACTAGTGACCAGCTTCGTTAGGGAATTCTCAGAGTTCTAGTGAGAAGCCGTGACCAATGAAGCTAATCTGTGTCTGGTAGAGACAGGTATCTACCTCAGTACAATGGAAGATGGTCGCGCAATTCCGTGGATTGGTTGATATTAGACACTAACACCATTGGATGCCGGCTCAGTGGTCCAGTAGGTTAGGCATTCGCACTCGAGATCGTGGATGCGCACTGCTGAGGAGTCCCACAATAGGACGAAACGGCCGTCCAGTGCTTCCAGGTTTACAACGGTTGTCTAACATCAATCGGTTCATGATCTCAATCAGATGTTCTATGTTTGATCTGTTTTATTGTCATTCATATCATCATTATTTCGACTGTATTAGTGTTCATTATAGTATTCACATCCATTACTGCTCTGAGGTGGTATAACAACTCCAGCTGAGATACATTCATACCGGATTTATGGTATAGACAGTACTGTGCATAACCATACAAATATTTTTGTATTGAAATGACATTTCGAATAACTGATACGAATTCATATTTCTCAGCGTTAGATTAACTTAATAACAAATAATATTTCCAAATCGATGGAATGTGGCTAACAATGGAATTCAGAACACGTATTTCGTCTAATCAGGTATTGGTCAGCTAGATATACCTGCATCCTAGAGTTGATGTTCACTTCGGAACTTGAACTCAAATGCCATCGAGTAAAAGTACCTTTTAAGCTTATCCTTAGTTTGTATTTGAATTACAAGATGTTCTGACAGTATAACACATTTTTCATGGAAAATCAGTTAACATGATCTGATTCTCCATCAATCCTGAGATGAATTTAGCTTTGAACTTATGTAAGATACCTATTCTATTCAAATTTACAATGAACAGTCATATTAATTTATATAATTAAGCCATTCTTATACATACAACGATTCACAAATGACTTATGATTTATTCTTAGTGTTTAGAAACAAATTAAAAGACTGACAACATCAGTATTTATTACTAACTCATGAGGTTTCACTTTATAGGACATTTTATAATAAATTTCTTGTTTTACTTACTTACGCATGTTACTCCCAATGGAGCGTAAGCCGCCGACCATCATTCTCTAACCCACTCTGTTCTGGATCTTCCTTTCTAGTTCTATCCAATTGCTGTTCATTCTTCTCATATCTGTCGCTATTTCTCGGCGTAATGTTTTTTTGGTCTTCCACTTTTCCTATGGCTTTGAGGATTCCAAGTGAGGGCTTGCTTTGTGACGCAGTTGTGTGACCTATCCAATTTCAGTGCTGTTTCTTGATTTCTTGTCTTAACTCACTCTTATCAACTGTATATAGTGTCTGTTGATGATTTTAGTCTAGATGTCATCTACTGACATAGAACGACACGATAATCTAATGTCAGTCAGTCAGCTACAACGTAGGACCAGGCACATATGTGCATCGGTCCAGGTTGCCATACCTCATTAGCACAGCAAGATGAACAGCGGATTCATAGGAGTGGTTAGGTCAAAGGTTGCAATAAGGATATAGTATAGGAAGAAAGAATTAGTTCGTAGAAAGAAAGATATGAAGTGATTTTAGTCTCTTAGTTTAAGGGAAGACAGGGAGTGTATACATTTACGCCATTGTGATCGATTCTGAGCCATTTTACCCAGAGTCTCCAACTATTGGTTACGATGGTCACGAGGACTCCAACCAAGTAGTCTGCATCTCCCAACATGGCTCAGACTAGAAGTTAGTGACTTCAGGCACTGATGCCACGTTTTGGTTTGGCCGCCCCTAACTTTCTTCCAACCATCCCCTACCCCGGTTAGCATTGCACGTCGTGGTAATCGGTGTTCAGGCATACGTAATACGTGGCCCAACCATCTCAGTCGATGAAGATTCATAACCTCATCAACTGATTTACCATCATTCCCTAATACCCTGTGTCTAACCTCACTATTACTTACCCGGTGATCCCAGCAGATGCCAGCAATATTTCTAAGGCATCTGTGGTCAAATACTAGTAGCTTACGGGTGTCTTCTACTCTTAAGGGCCATGTTTCGCTGCCGTAAATTAAAACAGAACGAACTGCCGCGCAGTATACTCGTCCTTTTATTGATAGACGGATATCTCGCCTTCGCCAAAGGTGACGTAAGTTGGCAAAAGCCAAACGAGCTTTTCGAATCCGTGCTGAGATTTCGTCAGACACCAACCCATTAGGGCTGATCAGACTTCCAAGATAAGTACATTTTATTATATGTGAAAAATGTATCCTCATTGTTTCATATAATTACAGTGAACTTTTTAAAATTCTCTTTGCTTAACATATAGCTTTCAACACAACATTAATTGCATGGGATGTAGATAATGCAACAGTATGTAAGAATAATGGACATACAACTAAGAAGAGTAAACGTAAGTTATTAAACTATTTTTGACCTGTATTTTGTTTATATTACACAGTCGATCAATGTTCTTTGTTGATAGAGAAAACAATCAGGAAAACACTGAACAATTTTTTGTGCCTTAGAAACAGTTTGTTATACAGATTAAAATCAGTTGAAGGAACCCTGTAATCAGTGGATAGTTATTGTATCATAATATAGAACTTTTCAATCCTTCCGATCTACAATCCTTCCACCAGTTGAACCTATCTCTTTTATGTCTTGTTAAGAGAGAGCATTATTCGAAGAACATTAATTCGGTATTGAAATTTTCGCATATCTAAAATCAAACAATTTAACGTATTCTGTGTAAGTATTATTTATTCCACTTTGATCAAGAAAGTAGAAACCATCACCAGTTATTGTTTCTCACAAACATTTCAGGAATCCTTTCTAAATTTATATTCTAGCAAGCAAACAGTTTGATTATAAAATTCAAGCTCTGTTATCAGACTGCTAATCAGTGAAGAATGAAATCAATCTATGACTCTTGACGGGAATGTACACTTACAACTTTAAACAATATTGATCCCGTTTATCTTGAATGTCTAAATAAATTTTGATTACTGTATTTATGGTTCAATTATCAATTTATAATTTAATTCATTTTGTGTTGGTTGTTTGAATCTTGTTTGAAATTGATCAGTCTCTTATTGACATATGTTCACCTTGTTCGGGGTCCCTCGATATCACCTTATGTTACAACATTATAAGTGGAGACGATGGTGATTAGTAGTTGAATCCAAGACATGAGTTTCGTCCCATTTGAGACTCGTCAGACGAATATACTTGCGTCAAACTTTACCACGTTGCACAAGCTAGTGGCTATATGGGCTAAGTAGCTAAGTAAATAATGCGATTTCTTTTAAAGTGAACGGCACTGGGTTTGAGTCATATAATGAAGACAAACTGTAAGATACAGATGGTTAGTCCGAAATAGAACGAAACGTGCATTCGGATTCCATTTCTAGCCAACATTATCTCCCCTTATAACTGTTTTGATACGGCTGAGGATGGGAAGTGTCCGCTCTCCCTCCAGAAATGCTCTCACATGGCCACGCTTATACAGCCATTGTCAGGAAAGTCCTACTCACTGCCTCCTCACGGTGGCAGCGGTGTTGTTTACGAAGTTGACAGGACGAAAAACGAATGTCCGGAACTTTAACCGGGTTGGTGTACACGGAGGGTCAACGTAGTGGAGTTGGAAAACCATGATTCCAAACCAATGGTGTACATGGGCTCCAGAATCCTGAGAGAACGAATGTCGATTGAACATGCTATTGGTCATCGGAAACTATGGGACTGAATCTCCTTACGTTGTCCCACTACCTTGTTGATCAGACTTTTAGGTTAAAGGCTTTGGTTGTGACACCGTAAGGAAAGCACCTTCTTTGGTTTGGGCACCCGGTCAGTATCACAGCCTACACACAAATCAAGTGACTTTTCATAATCCTATCCTTCTTACCTGTACTTATTAGTCGTAAATTCAATTTATAAGATTCTTTAGTATCATTTAATATTGTCCATTGAATGGTAGAGTATAAATACGAGAGATGAATACAAAAACTAAAAACTAATTCGGCAAGTGAAACGTTTGTTGTTGTTGTTGATCAGAATGAATAGAATAAACTGAAATGTCAAATTATTTATAATTATGCATGTACATATGTTTGTATGTATATGCCTTTAATACACTTTGTCCGTTTGAACATTTTTATAGTGTACAGTGATTCAGACAGTAATAGGAAACAATAAGAATGTTGTTTTCATTGAATAGTAGTGTTAATACATCAATCAATAAACGATAGCATAACTAATTTCCTCATGTAATATCAGAGCAAGGTCCGAAATCTGATACTGATATACGGTATGCTACGCGCTAATGAACCAAATTACTACTTAAGCAAGAACATAAGAATGGAGGAGAAAGTGTATTGGGCTGCTGAATGAAATTAACACATACTGATTTATATATATATACCACTCAATCCTTAGGAAATTGACTCACAGACCCCAACCAAATGCACTTGACCTTGAGGTCACTTCTGCCTCTTATCAACTGACCTTTTGCTACTTTTATGTGAAAATTATACTTGACTAATCTTTAAACATTGAAATTTTCATAACGACCAATTGTCCTGAAGTGACTTGAAACACTTTTAAGAGTTAAACATTGGAATTATTTCAGTTGACTTCATTTATTCCTTCTGAACTAAATTACTTAAGTTAGACTTTTCTTTACAGTCAATGTCGTTTGTTACATTCCAAAATTCTTAATCCTTTCACTTACTGAGTTGATTGGTAAGACTATAATTTATGAACGACCTTTGAGCAATACTGGGGTGACCTTGAGAGTATCCACCTAATAACTAGAACTAAATGAGGATTATAAACCAGTATGGAGAATTAGAATTATGATTTACAGTTGATGTTTAAGGTTAGGAATTAGATTTAAGGTTTTCATCACGAACTGACATCAGCTATAATGCCGAAACTCTATTTAGACAAATGGATGAGTGAATTTCGTGCCAAAATTCGAGACCTCTTATCTTATAACTGATTGGTTCGTTCATAAATTATAGTCTCGTCAGTTGACTTATTGTGTTGATTCCACACTGAAATAATCAATAATGTAGTTAAATTCTTTTCATAGGATCTCGTCATGAATGTCTAGTGTATTGTATTTTCATATATATATATTTCATTGCACTCCTCAGCAGTGCGCATCCACGATCCCGCCTCGCGAGATTCGAACCTAAGATCTATCACTCCGGCGTGCCAGCGCTTAACCACTAGTTCGCTGAGTCGGCTTTCAACGGTGTCAATGTCTAACCTCAGCCAATACATATATATATATATATATATATATATATATATATATAAATTCTCAGAACTCATTTGGAAATGGACCTAATTTTGTAATTTTATTTAGAAAATTTGAATTTCTTTGTTTTCGCGCCAAAAGCGCTCATTTCACTTTCATGTCGTATTTCCCATTTGGGAGAATCTTAAACGCTATTGGTCCGTTGTGTCTTTTAGTATGCTATTTTGTAACTCTTCACAAGGACGATTTTGTGCTGTATATATACGTTTTGATTTTTGTCTATTGTTATCACTCGTGCTTCTGGCTTTTTGCAGAATATACTTCCTCGTTCGGACTTCGACTCCTCTCTCTAGTTAGCGGGGCTGGGACGCAATAGAATAGCTAGTTTATTGGTCTTTGGTCATAAGTCTTTGTTCCGTTCGCGATCTAAGTGAACTCGTAACCGCTTCAAACCTAGCATCGTTAGTATAAGATTTAGCTTCATAGTGAGTTATTCACTGAACAAAAATTAGATCTAACAATTAATCACTGCTGAGAAAATCGTTTTTATATCCTTTCATGATCATTTATGTTCACTATTTATTGTAGAACCAACACGTAATCCAATCGCTTTAACTGGTGATCTTGGTGATGAAGTTGATAGATTACGTACAACTAATGGTTCACGTAGTGGAACTCCTCGAGAACGTAAGTTTTGTTTATATTTACTGAAAGGGAAAAAGTGTTTAAAGTCATAATAATTAATAGTAATTCCTATCAAAATGCATATAATTATCATTACTGTTCTTATGAAAAAAGGAGCATTAAACACTACCCAATTGAATGTCACAAAAATTATGTCAAATAGTTAATGAATCTGTAAAGTGTAACACTTGAAAAATAGTGTAATGAACAATGACTAAATAAAACTGTAAGTAAGCAAAGATGGATAGTGGCTAACAGTTCAATTCAGGATGTGCTTTTCGTCCTATTTGGGACACATCAGCTTGAAGTACTGCATCCAAGAATTGATGTTCACTTCGGTACTCCATCTAACTATGCTTATAAAGCTTGTAACTGAAAGAAATCCTCATAGAATGCACAAGAATGTCAACAAGAAACTGTTCATTTACTATCTTAAACCAATAACAATGGGAAGATACAAGCAAACAATGATAAGTGAATTTAAACTTCGCCCTATTTCACAAGCTAGTGACTATCAGGAACCAGTCGATAAGTTGATAACGCGATGGTATTTGGAGTGAACGGTTCCAGTTCGACTCTCGGAGTGAACATCAACTCTGGGATGCAGGTATATCCAGCTGACGAGTCCAAAATAGGACGAAATGCGCGTCAAACTGGATTCCACTGTTAGCTACCATCCATCGTTGCTTATAAAGCTTGTGACTTAAAGAAGTATCGAGGCACTCCGCACAAGATGCACATATGTCAACAAGAGAGTGATCATTTGCAGTCCTAAATAACAATGGGAAAATACAAGCAAACAGTAAATAGTTACTTGAGTTATCTGGAAAAACATAAAGTTTTCTCCTTCTTAAATACATGGTGGCTTTATCTCAAATTATTATCCAATGGAATATCTGTCATTTATATTTCCGAAAACATTTTGCTCTGGTCATGGGTTTAAAGAAAAACATGACTTTACTTGATTTTGTACAATATGCTTATATCCTAGAATACACTGCTCTGTTCAATAAATATGTGTACTAAAGTCATAATAGTTATACTGCATAAACTTCCACGAACATACGTCGTTGTTTCCTTACACATCACTTCCCATTTGTCACAATACATTTGTTCTATCTTGTTTCGACTGTCATCGAACGTTCTGAGGAGTCCAACTTCTCAATTTTCCTGGCATTGTAACATCCTTTCTATAGTGACGTTTATCACTGAAATATCTGCTGCGTTTAAAAAGAGTACCTTTTCAGTAAGTTAAACAACCGTAAACATTGGATAAAATTTGTTGAAAATTTCTCTCAAGTATCATTAAAGACTTAATATTCAATCATCGTTCTATCTGTTCATCAATCTTTGTTATCTACAGAAGCAAAGAAAATGATCTGGTTTTCACCATTTTAAGATGATAAACAATCTTTAAAGCAGACTATGTACATAGGTCATTAGCTATGTATTTCTCATGAAACCACAGGCGAAGACTGACTTTTCTAGAATGAAAGACAAAATAACGAACCGGGCAAAAAATATCATTGTGTGTCTTCAGCCCACATAGTATTAGGAATGAAAGTGTACTTGAGCTATTATAGATGAATCATTTATCTAATCAGTCACTGTTTACTGTCTGAATCATTTTGCATATGTATGTATAGTGTAAGCACAGTATCATCTTCCTTTGCATACTTGACTTGTTTTAGTGTATCTATAATTATATAACAAACTCATAATATAGCCAAATTTTAATTCCTGGTTCAGTAACAGCGATAATAAAATTTCATCATAAAACCTGAATGTTTCAGACTATCATCCCATCTGTCATTTTGTTTTAGAAAATAGCTAAGGGAGGCAAAACATTAATGAAGTGTCTTAGGGTAAAACAACTTTCCTCGGTACTCTAGCTGACATAATTTACTAGTAATAGTAAAATAAAAATCGCAGACTTTTTTCGGTTTTGCTCCACGCGTACGCAGCCACTGTCGGGAAAGTCCTACACACTGCCTTCTCGTGGCAGGGAGGGGGAGTTGTTTATGAAATGAGACGATGACTGGGGAACGTCCGCTGCTCTATCCGGTTTGGTGGATTTCGACGATCCATCTAGGGTAGTTGGAAAACGATGATTCCCAACTATTGGTGCACATAGGCTCCAGGATCTTACAGAAACAACCAAATATTATGCCGAGCAAATGTCACAATAAATCAATACAAACGGTTATAATATTGAATAAATATTACATAAACATTACTATCAATTTAAAACTAAACCAATGATATACTGAATAAATATCACAAGAATCATAAGGAGAGATGGATAATGGCTAGCAGTGGAATCCACTACGCACTTTTCATCCTATTTAGAACTCATCAACGGAGTGTGTCTGCATTCGAAGTGATTTTCACTTCAATCTGAGATGCGTCACAAAATATTCAGTCTCCTAATGACAGGAGAAATTTTCAGTCAACCCAGCACTTCCACACTGCAATGGTCCGTTGCCACATTTCACCGTCAAATGTCTTGATGCAGTTGAGAGTGAGGAAATTCCGCTCTCTTTCTCTCTGGAAATGTTCTCACAAGGCCACACGTATACAGCCACTACTAGGGAAATCCTACTCACTGCATTCCCGTGTTGAGGGTGTTGTTTACTGGATTGAGAGTATGAAAAGCGAGTGATCAGAGCTTCAATTGAGTTGGTGGATATAAAGGACCCACTTGGGGGAGTTAGGGAAATCTGATTGCAAACCAATGGTGCACATGATCTCCAGGATCCAGAGAGAACAAATGGTGTAAGAACCTATTCTCGTTGACCAACTACCATGAGAGTGTATCTCCTGATTTTGTCTCATTGACTTGTGGATTAAATCTTTAAGTCATATGGTTGTGGAGTGTATCCTTGAGAAAACCACGTGCTTCGGTTTGGGTGCTCGAGTAGTATCCCAGCCTTCACACAAATCGACTGATTTGTATGACGCCTATATATGTTTGGTACCTTCTTGTATCAATGTTTAAATAAATAAATATAATTAGAACTGATTGTTACTAACGTAATTTACAATGGTACAACACATTGATTGTTTTGTCAACAATCCATTCAATATTAAGAGGGGAAAAAACACAATGAAACTATAGAAAAACGTTTCATACCTGATGGTTACTGTGATTGAAACCAAGAAAAAGAAAACATTTACGAATTGTTTGTACATTTTCTACATACCGAATAAAACAAACAAAAAACCCATCTACATTGAAATCGATATCGGTAAGATCAATAATTCAATTTAATTGGTTACCATTTCAATGAGATTATACTGGGATACTGAAATTAGTAGTTAATTCATTTTGATCAATATACAAAGAGAATAATTTTGTTGTTGTTGTTGTTGGAGATTACGAAATGTTCATTATATTTCAAGATTGAAATGAATGATGATTATTTGTAGACTAATGTTATAGTTTGAATGTAAACTGTTGATAGTTCTCTAAGTGAAATAAAATAATGGATCAGACTATTGAACTGATTGAATGATACAAGGAATAGTTAGTCAGTTATGGACAGCATAGAGTTTGGAATATCTTGGTATCTAAGTAACAACATTACATTTACTCAGTACGATAAAATCGTTACTGAAAACCCTAGAGTAGTAGTATGAATAATAATAGTAGAAATCGGTATTAGAAAGGATTAGGAAAAGACGACATAATACGAAAATATTTGGTTCTCTGATTGGATTTGAAAGTTTCTGTCGTTCATCACTGTGTGAAATTGTGAACGCCCACTGTCAGAGAAATTTACACTGGAATTGAAAATTCGTGCGGCACATCTTTTAGCACTTACTTTTATCCATTATGTTTGAAAAAGATATTTCTATTACGATAATGACAGAAAATTCATATGAAAATTAACCAACTGAGTATATTACCTTATTACAACTTATTAGACAAACTATCGATCCAGTAGAGAGTGATCAGTGCCTTCTCGTGGCATTATTGTTGTTTACGAAATTGAGAGAAGGAAAATCGAATGTCCGGTGCTTTAACCGGGTTGATGCATATGAAGGATCCACCTGGGGGGGTTGAAAAACCATGATTCCAACCTAATGACGTATATGAGTTCTAGGATCTTGAAGGAGGAAATGGCGTGTGAACCAATCGTTGGTCACCGGCTACCGTGGGACTGCGTCTCTTGATGTTGCCCCACTGCCTTGTGGATCAAACCCTTAGTTTGAAGGGTCCGTGTGTGGCCACCTAAGTAAACCACCTACTTCAGTTTGGGTACCCGGACAGTATCACAGCCCACACACACATCAACTGACTTGTGTGGTGCATAAGTGCTCGATGTCCCTTTGTACCAATATTTATGTGTTCAAATAAATAAAAATAAAATAAATACTCTGATGTTTTTTTCAATCTATTCAAATACAGAAAGGATACCATAGATATACATGTAAACCAATTAAGTAAAAATAAAAAGATACTAACCATAATCCAAGCGTTTACCAAATCTAGTTACTTTTACACATTCATATTCCACTTTTCCTCAGTTGATGGAGAAGACTTGTAACTCAGGTGGATGATTTTAATGAAGTTTTGTTCTCTGAGTTGAATGGAATAGTCGTGGAGCTTCCATCGTTCTTCTGAACAACATCATCATAAAAAACTTGAACCTGAAATTTTAGACAATAAAATTTCATCAAAAACTTTTCCTTAATCTTTTACCTTAAATCCACACTGTCAGTTAGACGATACACAAAATTGCGCTACCGTACACCATTGTCTTCAGTGAGCTAATATCTCACAACAGACCTGGTTGAATGCGCACTGATGAGGAGTCCCATACTAGGGCGAAACGTCCGTCCAGTGCTTCCAAGTTTTCCATGGTCGTCTAACTTCAATTCACTCGTGATTTGAACTATTGAAATTAATAAAATCTCCAAAATACCCCTTCTGATAATAGTCATTTTCTCACTAGTGACTGACTTCCAGAGGCATTTCCTAGAGTTCTAGTGAGAAGCAGTGACTAGTGGAGTTCAACCAGGTCTGTTGTGAGATATTAGTTCATTGAAGACAATGGTGTACGGTGGCGCAATTTCATCGATTAGTTGAACTTTGACATTAACATCATTGAATGTCGGCTCAGTGGTCTAATGGTTAAACGCTCGCGCGCGAGACTGATAGGTCCTGTGATTGAATCTCGCGGTGAGGGGATGGGATTCCGAATGAGCACTACTGCAGAGTCCCATACTAGGACGAAACGGCCGTCCAGTGCTTCCAAGTTGTCCATAGTGATCTAACTTCAATTGACTCATGATTTCAACGATTGAAATTAATAAAATCTCCACAAAACCCCTTTTGATAATTAGACTATACATTAGATTTGATTAGAATGACTAATAGAGTATTTGAGTTGTTTATTTGTCTATGAAAAAAATGATTCATCGACATCATTGACAAACAAGCATAAATTGTTTGTTTGTTTTTCAAAGAAGAAAAAACCGGAGAGAAAGAAAGAGGGAAAAAGGGAGAAAAAACACCCATGTAACTAGCCAATCCGTTTCAAATATTTGACTCAGTTATTCGGTTTTCTCATTCGAATGGTCATGGTTATTCATTATTGATTCATTGAAACTAATTTCATTTCTTTTTCCCAGACAAATTGAATAATAGAGAAGATAAAAAAGCTGTAGGCGAAATAGGAAACTTACTGTCTGAATAGGAGTTTATGGAAATCGTAGTAATTTTTAGTGATTGATTTAAGTTAGACCACCTTGAGAAACCTAGAAGTAATGGTTGACTATTTCGTCCTAGTATGGGACTCGTGAACAGTGAGCATCCACGATCTTGTACGCGGGATTCGGACCTAGAACCTTCGGTCTCGTGTACGAACGCTTAACCTTCAGACCAATGAGTCGGTATTCAACGGTGTTAATGTCTACCTTCAACCAATTCACTTTATTGTACAACTGTTCATCATTATCTTTAGTCAGTAACTGCCTGACAACAGACATGATTTGACTCCATTGGTTACGTCTACTCATTAGAACTTCAGGAAACACATCTTGAAGCCAGTTACTTACTGTTTATTTTCTCTTGTCTTTTCACTTTGTACTTTTAACCTTTAAGAATTATTGAAGCATCTATAAACTTTAACACTATTTACATTGACTAATCTTCAATGAATGGAATATTCACTGCAATGATGTGGAATATATTGACAAGTGAACTGGAAATTTTATTATTTCAATAACTCAGTGTTAAGAATCAGTATCATATGAAATGTCAATTTATATAAGTAGTAGTCTTCTGAACATATTTGACTACATAGTGCATTGTTAAGAATGGGTATACATAATCAAAGAAATTGTTTCCATCATATTTTCAAATAATGAACGAATAAAGTTAAAACAATAAGATGAGTAAACAAGTAGATCATCTTTAATAGACCGTTGAAACTATTATCAGTAGTAAATTCACTTGGTATTACTTTTACATGAATCTTCCCATTGATGATTAAGACTGAAATTGATCAGTCTCTTATTGGCATATGTACATACTGTGCGTATTGCAGATGGCTATCAGGACTCAGTAGCTAAGTGGATAATGCGGTGGCATTTGAAGCGAACGGTATTGGGTTCAATTCCTGGAGTAAACATCAACTCTGAGGTTCAGGTACATCCAGCTGATGGGTACGAAACGCACGCCCGGATTCCACTGCTTATATTACCAGTAGTGTCTTAGTCTAGAAAATTTGATTAGTAACACTTATTTCGATGTTGATTTCTAGAATGTATCAGATTGAGATAGATTTTTTGTTTTCTCCGCATAGGTTTTACCCCCTAAATGTTTCTGAATTGTCTAGAAGCATGGACAAACTTCCTCACTATTCACTAGTTTCAACCTTTGTAGATAAGAAGACTTATGAATAATGATTTTTAGACACGTATGATCCGAATCAATTACTCAACTGTTGAAATTAAATTCTAATTCCTGATAGGGATTGGAAATTCGTTCATTGATATATGTAGTCGTCATGTTGACATTCCTTAAATATTGTTTTCAGCTGTGAGGTGTGCAATTTCAGGGTTGACCTTTTCTAACTCCATCCTTCCTTGTGAGAAGGCAGCATCACTTTTATGCTGGTTGTCTGAAGAAAACACCTTACTGCCGTCACACATCTGTACAGTTAGCAGTACGACTTTGCCTTCGCACTTTAGATTTGCTGCTTTTATTCTTACTGCTCTTCAACAGACCTGTCTGGCATGGTAGAACCTTGAGGAATGATTGTTCCAGCTAGTATAGCTCAATTGGTTCATTACAATAAGCAAACCTGACCACCACATCAAGGTAGCAGTAACGGTCAGGACAGAAAATCACATTGGTACAGTTGCTAACATCCTCTGTTGTGAACGGAATACATCCATTATGACATTAAATAAGAAAGAAAGATTAGTTCAGCGAAGAGTTCTCTTTTCGGCGAATTCATTTTCAAAGCTGTACAATCTCAAATATATACACTTATTTTTACAGGATGATAATAATACTGATAATAAACTTCTGTTAGACATGGTGACAGTGAGGTTAAATAAACGAAGGTGTTAAGAAATGTTTTAGAACAAGGAAAGTTTGATAGTAAATGGCTCAAGTATTCATCTGGTAAGGATGGCTCAGCATGATAAAATAACACAAAATGTTGAAACAAAGATGAAATGTAATCGGAATGATCGTGGAAATAAAAACAAACCGGTTGGAGGTAGAAGATTTGAAGGGAAGATAGAAGGTGAAGCAGGTGGCTGTAAAGGAATAAGAGTATGAAAAAGAGATAAAATTTTAATACATTAAGACCATGGTAGAAGAAGAGGTAGTAACAGTCTCTTTTGCACACGCAATTCTGGTTTTTCCAGATGTATGGCTATTGCCTCGGCAATGCAGAGAAGATGCAGTCTGATTGTCTTAGGAAGGCTTCTACTTACCTTGTAGATGACTTTGAACGCAGAATCTGTCTTGATTGAATGACCTGTGTTCACAAGGTGTTCGATTATAGAACTTCTTATTGAGCCTTTGCCTTCTCTTTTCTGTTGTGTTTTAAATTTTATGTTAAGTATGCTTGGTAACTCTTCATCTCATTTTCTCCTTATTGTAAATTGAATTGTGCATGTTTCATTTCCCATTGTACTTGAAATTTATCTCTTTTTCTGTTTCTCATTCTGTCAGTTTCTCTCTGGTTGTGCTAATGTGAAAGTTGATGACTCACACTACGGTACATTCCCACTAGGCCCTACATCGATGATAAAGAACTATCTGAAATGGATGTAAACGTCAAAAGGAATCTTTAGGTGTTTAGAATGTTAGGGACTTTAAATAATACTGTGAAATCATTTTCAATTTATTCCCGAAATTAGTTGAAGTAATTTATTTGTATTAGAGTCCCTTAGCTGTATGGCTTCGCTGGGTAATTTCCATTATTGTCCTGGTTAATCATATCATAAGTGACTGCTTTAAATGTAATTAAATATTTTGAAATAATTTCATAAGTACCTTAGTAATAGGTTCGTGAACATTATGTGAAACATCTGTTCGGTCAAACAAGATCATTTCAGCACTGAGAAGTTTGAGTAGGTTGGTCAGTTTGATAACTTATATCGCGGAATGACATTGGACAACTACTGAGAATGATTATCTACTGGACAACTCTTTACAGAGGTACTTATTGGAGATTTAGTGACGGGCCATGATTAATTAATTTCGACTGCACTAAGAGTGAAGTTGTCATCCACTGATGAAATTGAATGATGACTGCTCAATATTGTTCGTTGATTTAAGTTAGCAATACAAATCATTGGGGGCTAATTTAGTCATTTAAAGCTTAGGCACATTATGGATCTGATGGTCATGTAGTCAATCTCCGATGTGACCGCAGATTCAGGTTACTGAAAAATTCTACACTACGGCTAAATAGCAATGGTTGACTAACTAAGTTCTATCTGTCATGTAAACCATGAAAGGGTACGTCACTTGGTTTATTTTAATGGTAAACCATAGTTTATTAGAACTATTATGTTATCATTTACTTTTTGAAAAGAATATTGTTTATAAATGATCAGCTTGTTGATGATTCACATAACTAGCTGATCTGTATGATTTACAATGATCTTTTTATAACGTTCAACAAGTTAGAGTCTGGGTTGTAATCAACAATCGTGTCCCTATGACTGTTTTTTTTGCACTGACTTATTGTGCACTATCCTCATTCTACAAGTATTACTGAGTATCAATGACTTGTTGCTATAATATTTTCATGTATACATATATTCGAATCGCTTCCAATATGAATCATAATAGTTACTGATTATACTAGTTTACTTTCGTTATTCCCAATAACGACTTCTTTACATAATGGTATCCATTGTACATATATATATAGCACAACGTGATCCCATTTCTGGGAGAGGAAATTTTGGTGATCGTGAATGGGATCCAATTGGTAGATATAATGGAAAAACTAGACGAGCCAAAAGTTCTACTGGTAAGATTTCCCAAATTTTCTTTTAATTGTGATTATGAACTGATTGATGTTAGACCACCATTAAAGAAAATACTAAGAAGTACTGGATGGCAGTTTCATCAAGTTGTGGGACTCTTCGACAGTGTGCATCTACAATCCGGCTCGCGGAATTTGAACCCAGGGTCTTCGATCTGGCGTGTGAATGCTATTCATCTTTCATTGTACAATAAGGTTAAATTCTAATTAGAATGTACAATTCGTCTTAAAAGAAAGAAACTGCATTTGTTTATTGAACTAAAGTTTAAATAAATAATTTGACAAAATAGTTTAATGAATTTGCTAAAAAGCATAGTTTTAATTTTTATGCCTCAAAATGACCTTCATTCAAGGTTAATTGCGTAACTATGAAACGTTGAGATAATTTATATCATTCTAAAAGGTTGTTTATAGTCAGTCAGTCAGCTGCAACGTAGGACCAGGCACATATATGCATCAGTCCAAGTAGCTATACAAAGAACTTCAAAATGAATATAAAGATAATTTGGTTGATATTTAATGAGAAATTATTTATTCTATTTCTATTTGAACACATAAATATTGGTACAAAGAGGTATCGAATCAATATGGGGCACACAAGTCAGTTGATTTGTGTATGGGCTGTGATGATCCCCGGGTGTCCAGACCGAAGCAGGTGGTTGTCTTAGGGGGGCCACACTCGGAAACTTTAACCTAAAGGTCTGATCCATAAAGCAGTGGAGAAACGTTAGGAGATGCAGTTCCATGTTAGCCGTTGACCAATAACTAATTCATACGCCATTTGTTCTTTATGGATCCTGGAGCCTATATACATCATTGGTTTGGAATCAGAGTTTTCCAACTACCCTAGGTGGGTCCTCTATATCCACCAACCCGGTTAAAGCGTTGGAAATTCGCTTTTTGTCCTCTCAATTTCGTAAACAACACCCCCACCACCTTTAGGAGGCAATGGGTAGGACTTCTGTGACTGAGTGGCTATGTGAGAGCATTTCGAGATAGAGAGAGCTGACTCTTCCCACACTCGGCCGTACCAGGGAATTTTGGGGCAGGGACAAATTAAAGTTTACCAGGTGTACTACCCCACAGACTACAAAGAATTCTTTAGAGTGTGCCAGAAAAATATTTAAAATCTGGGGAAATGTTGAAGTTATTTCATTATTCAAAGTTTGAAAGGAAGTTCCTAGAATGTTCTTGAGAAATGATAGATCATTTGTTATATCTGGATTGAACAGTTAATTATGCGTGGATGGTTCTAGTACCTGTAAGGTATTAAGGTCACACACAAAATTTTAAATTTACTTTACTTCTGTGCCTAAATTAACCTCAGAAAGTTTTCTTTGTATCGTATTTCCCACCTTTAGTTTTCGTTTCGAGGGTTTAAGTGTAGCAAAGGTCTGGGGAACTAGAAATTCTTAAGAAGTTAGTGTCAAGAGTTCATGTGCTAAAGGTTTACATAATTTATGAAACAACTTGTTAGTTTAATGCTCATTATTTGAGTGACTTTTATTTGGCTGTTCTGATCATCTGTAACTCGCAAAGCTCGAAAACATCTGAAGTAAAGCATTTTAAATAATCTAAATTATTTTTTCTGGTTAGCGTTTTTTAGTGAGTTAGTTTTTTTACGGGGTGAGGTCGCTAACCCCACGCCTAACTCCCCTTTTTTGTTCGGACTTGAGACTGGCAGGAGCCCTAGAGGGTTCCCAGGCGGAGTTGGAATAAAGCAGTCGTAACTCAATAATGAAAGTGAATAATTGTCCAGTTTTATCCCTAAATTGTTTTATTTAACTATCAGTGATTTTATCTGACTTTAAGATGGTGGTTAAGATTTAGTAGTTTAGATCGATCATTTTGGTAAAGTTTCTTACTTTGAGTTGGTTAGTTTGATCGTAGAGTTTTCATTATTATTCTGAACATTATCATCAGCACAAACTTCACGTAGAATTGATGTATTCAACTTCCTTAAAATATGACTAATGTCTTATCGACCTTAATCATGATTGGTTCTTATTGACCTTTATTCTGTCATTTTCCGGTTAGCGTTTTTTTAGTGAGTTAGTTTTCTATGGGATATGGTCGTTAACTCCATGCCCAGCCCTCCTCTTTTATCCGAGTATGGGACCAGAAGTAACCCCAGAGGGGCCTCAGGGGGAGTTTTAATCTGTCATGATTATTCTGACTGTTTAATAAAGTAGATCCATTTCTACATGTTTATTAATTGTTGATTGATATGACTATCATGCTTCTAAAAATTCTCTGATGTTCTTTATATTCCTTATATTGAAGATTTCAACATTTTTCCAGTCCAATCTTACCTGACTGTGTGAATAAAGATAAACGAGGCAGTTAACGAACTTGTCAAAACTTAAAACTTGTAGCCATACACTTATGAGTTATTCTAAAGCTGAAAACAAATGATCAGTTTTCGTGACCAGGTCAAGTTGATTGTAGAATACTATGTCATTATTCAGTCAGTGATCTTTAGTTCTGTCAAAGGTATGAGGGCAGTTATCACTTCCCGGTCGCCCACAACGTGCAAACATTCTTCTAGAAGTACATGAAAAGGAAATTAGATTAGAGGTGGCCTTAGTGATCTGATAGCATAGCCACAGTGCCCAAGTGACAATTACTTGAGGCCGGTCACACACGACGTTTTTGTGATTAATTTTCGTTCTAGCACCATATTTGTTGAGATCTTGCTACCGGCGATGGATATCCATTGGATAAGCAAATAAAACAATAAGATTCACAAACACATACATAATATATATGGGGGAGCGATAGATTGACTGAGAGATTTCTAAGTGACTAACGGCTAAGATAAAGGAAGGAATATATGTGTAGGCTGTCACATGTAACCAAGCATATATGATCATATAGATGTAATAATAATGATAATACAAAGACATAGACCATTTGTTACTGTTCGAATAACATTGTCTATTAAATAAGTTAATTAAAGGGTTTGACATAATTAACCGTAGGAAAACTTCATCTTAGGAGGGGTGCTATAACTTGTATTTGTTTTTATGAGATTTTTCATGATTTTTCAATGAAATATCTGTTTATTACATTCCGAATTTATAAAACTTTATAGATTTTAGTATGACAGTTTCTTGTGGATAATCCATTTTTGGAGTTTATGAACCCATCATTGTTAAACCACTAGTGAAGACCTAGAAGCACTGGATAACCGTTTTGTCCTACTATGCGACTCCTCAGTGGTGAGCACCCACGATCCCGCACATGGGATTCGAACCAAGGGCATTCGGACTCATACTCAAACGCTTAAACTTGAGACCATTGAACTGGTATTCACTAATGTTAATATCTAATTTCAATTAATCCACAATATTTCACGAGTATCTTCCATTTTCTTCGATAAACAAACTGCTTCATACCAGGCACAGTTGAACTCTACTAATCGAAGCTCGTCACTAGAACTTCGAGAATTTTCTGTTGAGATTACAGCTTACTTAAAAGAGTATATAAGTAGTATAAAATATTCTACAAAATTAAGTGCACTGATTATGAATGTTTTTAATTACCTTTAATGTTTTATGATTAATTAGGTATTAGAACTAATCCATTAACTGGTGAAAATGTGAAAACTTTCACTGTCATGGCAGAGGAAAGATGTACAAATAAAGAAAATGGTGTATGCAAACGAAATGGTAAATAGTTTTTATTCTTATTTTGTATCGCATAGTTTGATTATAGAATGTTAATAGCTAACCAGTTTGAACGAGATTTGTGAATATTATCAATTTATTATTGTTATAATCTCTTTCTTACGGTTATGACCCAGCTATTCCTATTGCTTAGTATTCCCGGACACCGATTCACTCGACAAGTCCCCAAATCAAAACACGGTTGAACAGGAAAGAGATCATATTCCAAATAACAAGGTTAGATGGAATTAAGAAGCACAATAGAGAAAACGTTAGTATATTTATAGTTTTCACATGAGAAGATTCTAGAGTATTCTCCAATTATCGACTAGTGCTGATTGGATATAAATTAGCCAATCAGCGTGCACCAAAGCAATCGTGTATTGAGCATGCTTTAATCCAGTCTATGTCCCGCTAACAATTATCTACATAAAAAGGTGTCTTAGTAACAATATTATAGACTGTAGTGTTATGTAACGTACTTTTGATATCCATCCGTAAAATGTACTACTAATGGTAAAGAAGTAGATGGGTGACGTGCGATTCTGATTCCTGCCTCATCGCCAGAATAGTTTAATATCAGTATCTTCAAATATGAAACTAGATGGTTCAACATTGAATCTGTTGAGGATGCTAGATCATCAGAAATCACTTGGTAAACGTTTCATTTTGTAATTTTATTTTGAGAAGTTGAAGTTCTCATTTTCGAACTAAATGCGCACAGTTTTACCCTTAGTTTCTATTTCCCACGTAGAAGGATATTAAATGTCATTGATTTGTTCCCTTTTTTTAATATGGTATTTTGTGACGTTTCCTAAAGACATTTTTATATGCTTGAGTTATGTGATTGCTCATTCCGTGATTCTGACGTCTTGTGGAATATACTTTCCCTCAATTGAATCTGGTCTTCTCCCTCTAGCTAGCAAGGCTGGGGCGCAGTGAATAGTTTAGCTTGTCTTGCTGTTGTGTTGTTAATCCCCTGTTCAATTCACCAATTTTCGGTGTAATCTCTCTGAGCTTAGCAGAATCGTTCAAGATACCCTAGTTCTCATATGATTAAACTTAATGTTTGTTGAAAGTGTTCTTCTAGAAGTACCTGAAAAGGAAATTAGATTAGAGGTGGTCTTAGTGATCTGAGAGTGTGATCGCAATGCCCAGGGGACAATTACTTGAGGCCGGTTACACACGACCTTTTTGCGAGTAATTTTCGTGCTAGCTTGGTACTTGTTGGGATCTTATCGCTGGAGACAGAAATCTGTGGGATAAGGTGCGGTGTGTGTTTTTAAGATTGACTTTTTCTAACTCCATCCTTCCTTGAGAGGAGGCAGCATCACTTCTATGCTGTTTGTTTGAAGAAAACACTTTACTGCTGTCACACATCTGTACAGTCAGCAGTACGACTTCGCCTTCACACCTTGGGTTTGCTGCTTTTAGTCCTGCGGCTCTTCAACTGAGCTGCCTGACTGGCATGGTTAGACATTGAAAAATGATTTTATCAAGCTATTACAGCTCGATTGGCTCAGTACAATACCGGAAACCAGTGCATTTTTCACGACACAAATAAAAACATAAAAGCTGATTCAGATAATAATTTACTACAGCCTTCAAAAACACATCGATAGTTGTTGTCATAACAAATAATAACTGGTACCAACTATATGACTTCATGAATCTCACAACACAAGTAAGAACATGAAAATATTAGATGCAGATTTATTTGGCACGGAAAACAAATCGAAACGAATATCTCAATGAGCTAACGTAAATATGATTTACATTAATTACCAATCACGTTTATGTACTGCAAACTTAGTAGTACTCAACACTAATTAATCAAACGTCTATGTCTTACTCATATTAATTCTTTTTTTAGCAGTTGACATCATGAGTCAATTGAAGCTAGAGCACCATGAAAAATATGGAAGCTCTAGACTGCTGTTTCATCCTATTGTGAGACTCCTCAGCAGTGCACATCCAGGTTTTCCATGGTGGTCTAGTTTCAATTGACTCATGATCTCAACTAGTGAAATTACTATAATATCTACGAAAACCCTTTTTGATACATATTAACTCCTTAAAATGTAATTCATTGTTACAAATGATTGGAAAAGAAAATCAATTTTATAGATTACTATTACCTCAATCAATAAAATCTTTACTCTCCATACTGATACCGCAATATAAAACAGTCTGGCGATTAATTAGTTATGTTAAATCTTATCTTAAGTAAGGAGATGAATGATAGTGATTGACATCTTACAAAATACTTTCGTTGATTAAACTAACACAGTTAGTCAAATATGTAATCAAGGATATCTTATATAACATGTAACTCATTACATTATAAGCAAAGATGGATATCGGTTAACAGTGTAATCCACGATGTGCGTTTCGTCCTATTTAGGACTCGTCACCTCGATGTATCTGCATCCCACAGTTGATATTCACTTTGGGGCTAGAGCCCAGTACCGTTCGCATCAATCGCCAACGCTTTATCCACTTAGGTACTGAGTTCTCATGGACACTTGCTTGTGCAATAGGGTGAAGTTTAAATTCATTTGGTATTGTTAACTTGAATCTTTCAATTGTTATTTAGGACTTCAACTTTTCATGTTTCTCTTTTTTTAATTTTTAATAAATCAGTTTCGACGAAGAATATTTTCACTGGAGAAAATTGTGAGAATTACACAGTTTCACCTGAATTGAAATCTCCTATTAAACGTGTACAACGAGGTGAGTGATAGCAATCAAAATATTTATAGGTATCAGCATTAGGGTTGTGGAGATTGTTGAGTATTCGATTGAGATCATGAAACGATAAACGTTAGACCACTATTGAAAACCTGAAAGGATTAGATGGCTGTTTCGTCCTAGTATAGGACTCCTTAGCAGTACACATCGGCAATACTGCACTCAGGATTCGAACCCAGAACCTTCGGTCTTGAGCGCGAACTTTTGTTGCTACCTATAATTAGCATAAGTTTGACTGACAAACGTTTCCGCATTCACATTAAGAAAGTTTTGTGTTCTATACAAAACTTTCAGGACATAGATGAGGGTGTCATGGTACACACTATTATGAACGAAGATAGTATTCAATAATTTTCAGTTACTTGCAATCTCTAACCGATGCCAAACATGAAGCTGATTTGATGTTTACCTTAAACGCCTATCAACCCGAGAAATGCCTAATTCATGATTCGAATCTTCGCTCAGTAGTAACTTAACTTCGTTGCTTTGAAATTTATTTTTATGTGTCTGAGTACTAGGAAGTATAATTCAGGAAATTATATGACATAAACACTGGAAGATTGGATGATTGAAATATGAAACGAGAGAAAAACTTTCCATGGGGCCCTCCATTTTGACGTCAATTATATTAAACAATTTTACCGACGGGCTCACCACTTTAGTGGCCCAAGATCTGACTCCAATTGAATCGCATGATTGATCGTTATTGAGATATACATGTCGTCAATCCTCATATATTACATCGGCTTAAATCGCGTTGGTGAATAACGGAATTAAATAAGTCAAATACGAGAATGAGTGTTTTGAATACGTATATTTTGTACATTCATTGATCTAGACAGACAATCAGAGGAACGAAACGAAGAGAAGAGATCGAAGTGAAATGACGTCCAGTGGAGAAGGCGCGTGAACCAACTTGGTTTAATTATGCGTTAATAGATATTTAAAGTCACACAAAAAATAAGCTGCATACATTTGATGAGTAGGATTAGAAGTGTACACACATATACGCTCATATAAAAACAGTCAGAGTTGTTGAGTGAATGATTAACAAGGTTAAAACATAACTCAAGAAGAATGGATAAATTGGCCTGTTCAGAAGCTAGAATAAGGTAGATGGGCTTAACATTAGTAACCAACACTACAAACTCAGTTTGAATTTATACTACTAATCATCATCAACTACTCAAGATGAAATAAATTATAAGGTACCATATTGAATTATTTAGACCAATTATAGAATCCTTTCCATAATTCGCATTCACTGAATAATTTTATATGCCAAATCTTAAAATCCAAAGAATATGATTATGTCAAAGAAAATCAGCATAACCGATAAAGTTTACAAACCTCGAATAGTGAGGTGTTCAGGTATATTGATTCGGTGTCAAGGAGAACCGGTTAGCGTATTTTTAGCAAGGTTGTTTTCTACGAGATGGGGTTGCCCACCCACCCCCCATTACCCGGGCTTGTGTCTGGTAGTAGCCCTAAAAGAGTTACAAGTGGAGTTCTTCAAGGAAAAAAAACTGGTAAAAAAATAATGTCAATGAATCGTTGGAAATAGAAACTTCGTGTCAAACAGCTACCATCAATAATGGAAAATGAATGATAGTTTTCACATGACTAATCGGTAATCTGTTCCGAATCATGTTCAAAAATGATCAGTGGTGACATGAACTACTGAGTATTACTAAGTAGTATAACTTTCATATATCAAGGAAAGGTGATCGGTAGTACAAAATAATCGAGCATACGACAGGGCAGTACCATTATACAGTCTGTTTAGTTTTAAGTATTCAGCGGTCATCAATAGGGATTCTCGAACCAGTGATAGTTACTTATTGATGCTTATTACCAAGTTGTGTCCGTATTCTTGATGGGACATATGCTTATCCATATGATTTGAATCTGTCTTATACAATATTATTGTTATTAAGCAAATCGGGTATTCTTAACCTCTAGTTATCCAAATGATTCCTAGGAATAATGTTTCTCATATGGAGTTCTTAATGATAGATTCTTATTTTAATGACCTCTTCACTTTTAGAACCTTCACGTAACGCTATAACTGGTGAGAATTGTGCAACATATGATTATAATTCTGAAGTTAAAATATCAAAAAAGCGAACACCAGTCAAAATTTCAAATCCATTGAATGGTGAGAATGTTAGCGCTTTTATGGTATCGCAAGAAGAAAGACCACGTACAGCTAAACCTTATGGTAAGTAAAAAAATAGAGACGATAACAACAAAACGAAAATCATTATCGAATGTAGATAGGTCTTTGAATTTCGTAGGGAGGAAACCATCCTTAATTTTAATTTTACCTACGCCTGTTACTCCCAATGGAGAAGAAACCGCCCATCAGCATTCTCCAGCCAACTCTGTCCTGGGCCTTATTTTCCGATTCTATCCAATTTTTGTTCATTCCTCTCATGTCTATCTCCATTTCTCGGCGTAATGTATTCTTTGGTCTCTCACTTCTCCTTTATTCAAAACCTTGACGATTCCAAGTGAGGGATTGCCTCGTGACACAGTTGGGTGCTCTCCTCAATGTGTATCCTATCCACTGACAACTCTTCTTCCCGATTTCTTCCTTCGCTGCAATCTGGCTTATTCTCTCCCACATCCAGTTGTTGCTGATTATGTCTGACCAACGGATCCGAAGTATTTTGCGTAGACAACTGTTAATAAACACTTGTATCTTTTGGATAGTGACTTTCGTAGTTCTGCAAGTTTGCTCACAATACAGTAGAACTGTCTTCACATTTATATTGGAAATTCTAACTTTAGTGTTAGTTAAAAGGGAGATCTTTTGAGTTCTAGATGTTATGCAGTTGTAGATATGCTACTCTTGCTTTGCCGATCCACACCTTCACATCTGCATCAGATCCACCGTGTTCATCAATGATGCAGCCCAGATATGTAATGATTGTTACATTTTCCAAGTCTTCTCTATCAAGTGTGATTCGATTGATGCATAATGTGTTGTATCGGAGAATCTTGCTTTTCCCTTTGTGTGTGTTGAGACCTACTGTCACTGAGGCTGTTGCTACACTATTCGTCTTCTCCTGTATTTGTAGTTGAGTTTGCGATAGAAGAGCTAGATCATCTGCGAAGTTTAGATTGTCCACTTGCATCCTAGTTGTCCTCTATATCCCGTGCTTCGACCCATATGTTGATATCTCCATGATCTAGTCGATCACTCGAAGAAAAAGAAAGGGTGAGAGTGGGAAGCCTTTCCTAACACCGGTCTTTACCTCCAACAAGCCTGTGAGCTGTCTTCCATGCAGGATTTTGCAGTTTAATCTATTATGGGAATTCCGTATGATATTGACTATCTTCTGAGGCACGCCGTAGTGTCGAAGAAGCTTCCATAGTCTTGTCCTGTCCACGCTGTCAAATGCTTTCTCGTAGTCAATGAAGTTGCTGTAGAGTGATGAATTCTATTTAATTGATTGTTCCACAGTGATCCGTAGTGTTGTGATTTTGTCGGTACACGGAATGTAGCCTGTCGGTCTCGAAGTTAGGCATCTACGCAGTCCTTCATTCTATTTAGAAACACCGTGTTATTGAAAAAAGTGTGATGTCTCTGTAGTTCTTACACTTGCTGAAATCGTCTTTCTTTGGTATCTTGATCAGGTGTCCTTCTTTTCAGTCTGTTGTTACTTGTTCTTTGGGCGGTATTAATTTGGTTATTAATTACTGGATTCGACCTTCATTGAGCTTATGGATATGAACTATTGAGGAGTTCTACACTGAATAGAGATATGTATCTATTACTATTTAGCTCTCAGTTTTGATCTAACTAAGATCAATTCATGATGTACATTGTGGTTAATTCTTAATACATACCATATTTATTTCTTTTGTTATTATTGTTATTGGTTATTTTAGTATACAGGAATACAGTGACTGGTGAAAATCTTCAAAGTTACAAAATAACACCAATTGAAAGAAATGTTACACCTAGAGTGGTTAAAGGTAAGTCTCACTTATGTACCATTTATTTATTGATTTGAACACATGAACATTGGTACAAGGAGGCACCAAATAGATATGTGCCACATAAGTCATTCAATTTGTATGAGGGCTCGGATACTCTCCGGATGCCCAAACTGAAGCAGGTGGTTTTCTTAAATGGCCATACTTGAAGCCTTTGACCTAAAGGTCTGATCCACAAGGCAGTGGAGCAACCTTAGGTGATACAGTCCCATGGTAGATGGCAGCCAACGATTGGTTCATACGCCATTTTTTCCGCCAGGATCCTGAAACCCATTGGTTTGAAATGAGGGTTTTCCATTTCCCCTAGTTGGACTATCCGTATCCACCAACCAGGTTAAAGTGCCGTACATTCGCTTTTCGTCCTCTCATTTTCGTGAACAACACCTTCGCAGCGAGAAGGCATTGAGTAGAACTTCCCTAGCAGTGGTTGTATGCACGTGGTCATTGTTGGGGTGATCCAGAAAATTCCTCGCAAAAGACAAGCAAGGAACAGGAAACACTAAAAAGCATTTCATCCAATCAGCGTTCACTTGAAGTTTTAGCCAGGAACATCAAGGAAGTGAAACGTCACATGTAGAGTTTCTGATTGACTGATTTCTATACTGCTTCTATGTTTACTAGCATTCCAGAATCTTCGAGCGACCCAAGGACATTTAAAATACCATAAAAACCCTATATTTTCTGTATTAAAACGAACCTTTGGAGTACATTGCTTCTCGCATATTTTGCATCTTTTCTCTCGTGTTCAGGTTGCTGTGTAGTTCTAGCTTGGAAGGTTACAAGAATAGCTTAGGAACCGAATATAGCGTCCAACTTGCAAGACTTATCAGTCGTGTGAGAGCGTTTGAAAAGGGAGAGGTGACTCGCCCCACTCTCGGTCGTACCAGGGCATTTGGGGGGGGCATTATCGACTTTCTAAACAATATGTTTTATATCATATTTTAATATGTGGTTAAATTCCCATCGGGAATTCAGATGAAAAGAGGCTAAAAGTATGTAGTTTAATCAGTGTTCAATAAAAACTCCTTGAAGAGTTCTAGTACTGAACAGTATTGATTTGAAAATGATCGGTTCCATTATTAATTCCAACATGTTTTTAAAAACTTCTTTAGATCATGGGTCACTCATACTTATACATATGCTTACTGTAACCAGATTAAAGCTTTTTTTATAGTTTCAGGCCCCTATCATTTGTTCTATGTTGAAGTTGTTTTGTTGTCCAGTATTCGATTCCGATACTCATAAATAAGCTTTTTGCTGACAAGCTTAACTAGCTGTTCAAATAAGAAGGGTAAGAACGGTTACTTAAGTGTTTGCAAAGAAATGTGTCGTATTTGAATGGTATAAAAAAAGCATTTGAATGAAACCTAACCTAGTGTATTGTTAGTGAATGAGGGAAACAATAAAAGAGTCATGTTGAGGATTGAAGTGTTCTATTAGATAAACATGGAGAATTGTTTGGTTTAGTTACGAACTTTTGTAGACCTTGATGAGTAATATATTTGTTTTCTGTGCTTTTTCACAAGACAGCTTGAACGCTTGTGATGATCATTAAAAGAAAAGATCTAAAAAACATTAAAGAATTTCACATTAAGATATCGCATGAGTTGCAGTAACATTGAGAGTTGGTTTGATTTTCATTATAAATTGTCAACTTTCAAAATATCAGTATATGGTTGTGGAGTCTCGCGCGCTCAACTGAAGGCCGTGAGTTTGAATCCCGCGAGCGGGATCGTGGATCCGCACTGCTGAGGAGTCTCACAATAGGACGAAACGGCCGTCCAGTGCTTCCAGTATTTCACTGGTGGTCTAACAACAATAGGTTCATGATCTCAATCAAAAACTTTCTAACTGTAGTTCGCAGAATCAACGTGATTTGTTTCAGGGCTTGTTAGACAATATGTGACAAAAGGATTGTTTCTTTGATCTTTTTCACAATCCCTAAGCATAGCTTTTATGCATGTTCCCATAAATCTAGTATAGATCACAAATAATAAACATTAATTACTACCCTTAGTGTAGCGATTACGTGGTTAAGTTATCTGATCATTACAGACTCCACTATATCAAGATACTTTGAACATAATGACTAGGTTTAGGACTTCGGATCGAAATTGATTCATCCATTTGGCTAATGAGCATTTTGATATACTAGCTGATATTTTATGAAATATCGCTAGCAGCTGATGTCAGTTCGAGATCAAAACTCTAGATCTAGTTCATAACCATCAATTGTAAATCATAATCCTTATTTTTCAGAACAAATCTATACCTCTCGTTTAATCCTAATAAATAAGTGAACACTCTTAATATCACTTTAGCGTTGCTCAAAGGTCATCCATAAATTATAGGTCTCACAGATATATGGATGAATGAACACCTGTGTTTAAGTCCCGCAGGGCGGGGTCGTGGATGCGCACTGTTGAGGAGCCACATACTAGGACGAAACGGCCGTCTAGTGCTTCTATGTTTTCTATGATGGCCTAGATTTAACTGACTCGTGAATTCAACTAATAAATGAATATCTCATATTCATTACTACTTTTTTATTTTAAGTAGCATGAAATTTAACTGTAAAAACTCAAAAGTTTACTCACAAATATTTAATTTTGATTTTGATAAATACAGATCGACAAAATCCATTAAGTGGAGAGAATGTTGAAAGTTACACTTATCGTTTAGGGGAATCTAAAAGGACTGTCAAAAAAAGAGGTGAGATATAGAATATTCTTAATAAATGTTAGTTTGATGCATTTTATTAATATCTCTCTGTATGTTCGGATAGTAAGCAGATGGCTATGGGGATTCAGTAGCTAAGTGGATCACACGATGGTATTTGAAGCGAACAGTATTGGGTTCGGGTCCCGGAGTGAACATTAACTCTGGGATGCTGATACATCTAGGTGACGAGTCCCAAACAGGATGAAATACGAGCCATTCAGGTACTTACTGATCTTCTTTTTTTAGGACTGAATTCATTTTACCATTCTATTGTTGGTTAAAAACGATGTCTTACTGTGTATCTTTTAATCCTAACCTAATTATATAAATCAATTGTTTGAAGTTATGAATGAGGGTTTGACATATCTATTAAGAAAGTTGGAATACAAGACGTATGTTCTGTCTAATATGCGACTTTTCAACCAGATTTAACTACATCTTAGTATCAACACTTTAATATTATTTGAAACCCAGTACTTACAGCTTCAAACACTAAGAGTGTTATCAAATGATCTACTTATTCTGGACAGTCAACAACTTTGTAACGGAGATAAAGTTATTTGTAATGATTTATGTTTTTTCATTATTCATGTTAATAACGATAAATGGTCAGTCAGATTATAAGTAGTAACTTACTATGAACCAATTCTCCGATACAACACAACTTGCATCAATCAAATCACAATCGATGGAGAAGATTTGGAAGATAAAAACATTTACATGTCTAGGCAGCATCATTGATGAATAAGGTGGATCGGATGCAGATATGAAGGTGTGGATCGGCAAAGCAAGAGCAACATATCTATATTTGAATAACATCTGAAACTCAAAACATCTGTCAAACAATACCAAAGTCAGAATTTCAAATGCAAATGTCTTGACAGTTCTACTGTATTGGGCGGAAACTTGCAGAACTACGAAAGTCATCATCCAGAAGATACAATTGTTTATCGACAGTTGTCTACGTAAAATACTTCGGATCCGTTGGTCAGACAATATCAGCACCAACTGAATGTGGGAGAGAACAAACCAGATTTCAGAGGAGGAAGAAATCGGGAAGAAGAGTTGTCAGTGGATAGGATACACATTGAGGGAAGCACCCAACTGTGTCACGAGGCAATCCCTCACTTGGAATCGTCAAGGTTGAATAAAGGAGAAGTGGAAGACCAAATAACACATTACACTGAGAAATGGAGACAGGCATTAGAAGAATGAAGAACAATTGGATAGAACTGGAAAGGAAGGCCCAGGACAGAGTGAGTTGGTGAATGCTGTTTGGTGGCCTATGCTTCATTAAGAGTTACAGGAGTAAGTAAGTAAGTAAATATGAACTGAAAATTATTCCCATCACCGACTTGACCGTTCAGTTTATTTTCCCGGTACTAGATGACCATGAATTCATTTATTTTATTACCGATTATATATATCATCAATTCTAAGGCTTAATATAATCACTTAAATCGAGTACATTTTTAATGTTACATAATCATTGTTTATCTTCAGTTTTCCTTCTTTCTATTCTCATTATGTTTTACTTCTTTACAGATCTTAGTTCACCATTAACTGGAGATGGTTCACGTGGTCGTTCATATACTATATCTATTGAAGAAAAACATTTATCCCAACCAAATTTAAATATAAATGAACATGATTCAACACATCATACATTATCATCAAAATCTCTTCGAAATATATTAACAGGTGAAAATTGTATTACATATAATGTATGTCAAGAAATGAGAAGTGAAAAAGTTGACAGTACGACAATGATGATGAATGGGAATACACATAAAAAGTGTAAGATAATTTCTATTTATTTATTTAAACACATAAACATTGGTATAAGGAGGCACCAAATAGATATGCTTGAGGCCTGGGATACTGCCCGGGTGTCCAGACCGAAGCAACTGGTTTCCTTAGAGGGCTACATCCCGAGCTTTGGACCTAAAGGTCTGACCCACAAGGCAGTGTAGCATCGTGAGGAGATACAGTCCCATGGTAGCTGGTGACCAACGATTGATTCATACTCAATTTGTTCCTTCAGGATAATGGAGCCCATATGCACCATTGGTTTGGAATCCGGTTAAGGCGCCGGACATTCGCTTTTCGTCCTGTCATTTTCGTAAACAACACCCCCACCACGAGAAGGCAATGAATAAGACTTCCTTGACAGTGGCTGTACACGCGTGGCCGTTTGAGAGCATTTCGAGAGGGAGAGTGGGCCCATCCTACTCTCGGCCATACCAGGGCATTTGGGGTTAAGATAATCAACTTAATGATCTAAAGACAATGTAATGGTTGTGTAGTATGATAGTCTTAGATCCGAGGACAGAACTAAGTGTTAACTTCACTGCTTAATTAACGTAGAATACGGTATACAACTACGGTACTAGAATGTATAGAACGTACAACAGGCTCAAATCATAAGACAGAAGAAGATTTGAGTAGTGCTTGTTGAGTAACAATCAGAATGTACAGAAAATCATGGGTATTTAGAGATATTAACGTTGGTTACATCAACATCCTAAATCAGCCAATTCGTAAAGAGATATGTTATGCTACTGTCCAACAGTAGGATGTGACGTTGATGTTCTAAAAAGCTCCAACACATTCTGATTGGATGGAAACTCTTCAACTCCTTTAGAGCCGCGAGAGGCTCTGTTGTAGTTCTCCGAAGCCGTCCCAACACTAAGGATCTTCAGGTCTTGATTCTAGTATGTTGTCTTTGAGATATTGAGTTGTGAATTTATAATCTATATTATTACATCCAATCATTTTATGATACAAAGAGACAGTTATCTTACTTCACAATTGCCTTCTCACTAGTTATTTGATTAAATCATTGATAGGTCCTGAGTTCGAATCACGCGGGGCAGGATCCTGGATGTGCATTTCTAAGGAGTTCCACACTAGAACAAAACGGCTTCCGGTTTTTGAATAATGGTCTAGCTTAAATGGACTCATGAACTCAATCATTAAATTACTATGATATCCACGAAACCACCCTTCTGATAATAAATCACATTAGTCACAGTTTCTCATAGTTACAAGCAAACTGAAGATAACTGTCTGATTTGAAATAATAGGAAGTTTACTTCAGTGTTAAAATTGGATTTTATCATCATCTGAAGACTTCTCAATCTCACACTAGAATAAGACAGGTTTCCAGTACTCCCCAATTTCCAATGTTTCCTTAACTTATGTCCAAATTTAATGTTTTGAATTTTCTATGCTCATTAGATTTATGTTTAGTAATGATGTGCATACAGTTGATTATCCTCTATTAAGTTTACATATTCTGATTACAATTCATCATCTCACTTTCTTCTTAAATGCACGGTTTGGGTAATTCAAAAGTCAAATCGTTCGGGAAAAATGTACCCTTAGGTTTACTGTTTCCTAGTCGGGTACTATCACTTTCACACATTAAATAATATCAAACTGATGAGCTTGATATCTCATGTTGTTTGCACTACAATTCAAATGGAACCAATGTCACTCATTTTGTTTTATAATCTTCACATTTACTGACTGAAGTCGAAGATGTAGACTGTTTGATGCCAATTCAGTGACATTCTGATTTGACCAGTTCAAACTTTATTTCACCATAGAGGTTGATGTCTTAACTTATGAACGTAGTAGTACAGAGGATTTGTGTGTATTATTGATTTATATTGTGGAATGATCTTGAATAAAGAACAATTAAACATCACAAAATTGCTATATTTGAAGAGATTACCAGTTCACGTAATCTGCGAATGAAACAAACATACAGTGAAACAATGATCTAATAAGCTAACTAGTCCGATGTATCCCAGTCCCGCTAACTGGAGATAGAAGTTCAGGTTCAGAAGAGGGAAATGTTTTCCACAAGCAGCCACAAAAATCACAAGCACTATTCAAGAGTATAGATACAGAACAAAAATGTTCTTGGTAAACGTTACAAAATAACGTGTTAAGACAGACAACGAACCAATGACATTTAAGGCCTCCTTTAGTTGGAAAATACGACATGAAGATGAAAGTAGGTGCTTTTGGCGCCTAAACAACAAAGTCAAATTTTTAAAATTAAATTGCAAAAATAAGACATTTACCAAGTGAATTCTGTGGACCTAACATTCCCGAAAAAAACACTAGATATCTATTTAGTTATAGTAAAAGGGACCTAAATAGTGTACATCTACAAACCCATTCAAGATCAAACCTAAGAAAACTTTAGACTTCATAGCTTTTTAGCAACAAGCCGAGACCCAATAGCTTATATTCCTAACACTGGTTGAAAGTTCATAGACTCAAATACCTAGATTCATCTTGACTGAATAGTTTCAATAACAGAAAGAGGTCGTTTAATATAAATAGGTGTTACTATGACACAATCCATTTCATTTATCAAAGATAACACTTAGTAATCAGCCTTAAAATTATATCATCTTATTGTGTGACAAAGTAGTGTACTACTTATCAAATTAAGTAAAGAGAATTTTAAATATGAAACTTGATGATCAGAAAACTGTGTGCATTAATAAGCAAAGATGGATAGTGGTTAGCAGTGGAATCCAGTTTGACGCACGTTTCATCCTATTTGGGACTCGTCACCTGGGTGTACCTGCATCTCAGAGTTGATGTTCACTCTGGGACTCAAACCCAATACCGTTCACTCCTGACGCAATCCCGTTATCCAATTAGCAATACACACAGTATACACATATGCCAATAAGAGACTAACCAACTGCAAACCTAAAAAATCAATGGGAGGGTTCAAGTAACAGTAGCAAGTGAATTTGAGTTCTTTAATTTATAAACTACTGTACAAAACTTATCAAACAGTTACATACTTATGAATTTGAATTTCAAGTATTATAAATTGGTGAAGTTATGGTACTATACTAACCAAAGTGAGTTAAGTGGTAGTGTAGTGAATGGGAACACAGGTGGGGAAAACCGAAATTGCAGAATCTCTTGGTAAAGTCTGACTAAAATATACAGTAAATACTTCATTTGCAAAATATCATTAAATTGTCTTACACTTGACTGTTCCTTCATTCCCACATCAATCACTCTATGTTCTCTTTCTCTTCGCTTCCATCTTCTTAACCTTCTGCCGTCAGGCATTCCACCTTCGATTGGTGATATATACTACTTATATCTGTCGACATAGGTAGCACACACCGTAGATGGGAAAAATATCTAAGTTCTAGTGAGATAGGGTGATTTATGGAATTCAGTTACATTAGAATTATCATTAAGAACTCTTTAAGATGGTCACGTTATTATCGTGAAACAGTCGATAATGAGATGGTGAACTAAGACAATCTTTATACGTCTCGGTGTAGAACAAAATACTTATATGGTACACGCTAGTTTGAAAATTTACTCAGTTGATAGTATATCATGATGAACCGATCTCCATAAACGTTTGAGAAAGAAAGCAGTTGCACAGACAAACGAAGTGTAATACACTAGGTAGTGGAGCAGCGTAAGAAGATGCGGTCCCACGGTAGTCAGTGACCAAAGTAGGTTCATATGCAATTTGTTTCCTCAGGATCATGGAGCCTATGTGCATCAATGATTTCGAATCAGAGTTTTCCAACTCCTCTAGGTGGATCCTCCATGTCCATTAACCCGGTCTAAGAGCCGAACACTCGCTTTACATCATCCAATTTCATAAACAACACCCACGTCACGAGAAGGCATTGAGTAGGACTTCCATGGCAGTGGCTATATGTGAATAGTCATGTGAGAGCGTTTCGAGAAGGAGAGATGACTCTCTCCACCCTCGGCCATATCAGAGCATTTAGAGGTCGATGAATTCACCCTAACATATTAAAGTCATTATCATCATCTTCCGTTATAGATGTGTTTGATTTATCAGTTATTTTACAACTTCAAAATATTCATCTTTTATCATAGAAAGTCAATCTTGTTTCATGGTTATTTTCTTCTCTGTTTGATAATTATGTTACATTTTCATAAAACAGATATGTCAAATTAAATGTTTCAATTGTTGTAGATAAGTGTTTGATTGTTTAAAACAAGTAGCTTATTGTAATGAAACAGGATTAGATTAATAAGGTATAATTTAGTTAAGGAATTTTAGATCAGAAAAAGGAAATAGAAAAAAAACAATAATCTATTTTGTTACCCCCTCCACTACACCCTCATTTTTATTGCTGTTGAATGTGACATGTTTGACTAAACATCTTTTTATGTGTAAGGCTGATAATAATAATAATAATAATAATAATAATAATAATAATAATAATAATAATAATAATAGTCACAACGAAACAGAATACTGGCGTAAAATTATATTGTTAAAAGCTAACTACTGTAATAAAACTTAAGTAGTTTATAATTTAAAGAATAAAATGTTTGAGGTCTGTTTGATTAATATGAAGTTAAGCAGGAATCGAAGATTGAAGAGTACAAGAATTCGTTAATATTTTGCAAATGTGACTTCACTAGGCGTTATATTGAAGATTTTCCAATAACTTAAATTTACTGACATGAACACCTATTCAATGATTGTTTAATAGTGAAACTACATTCACTACAACTGTTTATTATAAATTTAGAAGTCAGTCATCATCAAGTAAAACTGATAAACTTAAAAGTAGACTTCATCAAGATCAATTTCACTCAACAATAGTTTGAAGCTAATAATTTAGTACACAAATAGTTTTTTTCCTTTTATTGTTTGATAATATAATTGGTTTGTTATTTGGTATTACACTGAACCAACTTATTACATCAATGGCTCGGTGTCATATGTTGTTGATAATAAAAGCAGCTTATCC